AATATTCAAAAATATAATACAATTAAATTAATCATTAAATAATTTAATAGTATTAAAAGATAATACACTACACATCATGAAATTAAAATCATGTATAGTAAAATAATCTCCATCATAACATAAAATACATCAAGATATCCCAAATATTTGCTATATGTAATCTTATTGTTTTCATATGAATATTTTTTTCAAAAATATCTTATAATTAATCAATATTAATCTTATTGTTTTGATTTGAAGTTTTTTTAATACTTCCAAAATTATCTTATAATCAATATTAATCATATATTATGTTGGGAACATTACTAATGTCCACCTACACCTTGACTAATTATTATAATTTTCATTTCTTGTTTCTATGTTCGAAAGACTATTTTAACTTATGAAATCCATATCAATTCAACATAATTCAATTAAAATATGTCAAAAAAAATCATTTATTTGTACAACTAAGTTATGCAATTTATTTTTGGCAAATTTACTTTATCAAATTACCTTTAGACAAAAGTCTTGCCCTTCATTTTGTCTGAATATTAATATTTAATGAAAATAGGAATAAATTGCTCGCTGGATATATAATAATATTTAAAACATTAAGCTTTTTTATCTTTTTTGGTAAGCAAACTTTAGGTAAGTATTATTGGCCTTGCATTAATATTATATATGATATATCACTTTTTATTTTTAGTAGTATTCATTCAATATAACACTATAGAGAGGTCTTGTTTTCTTAAAAGATATTCTTTTAAGATGTAATAAATCATGTGAATTTATTTGTATGAGAAATTTATACCTCATAAAAAAAATAAAATATATTCAATTAAGTCATATTGGATTAGAAAATCTCTAGAAATAAATACTCTAATTTAAAAATTATAATTATTTTTATTCTAGAGCCCATAATAGAATAATATTTCCATCTTTCAAAATTATATATTATTCTTTATGCTTAGGGAAATTCTTTTAAAATTTTTAGCATCATAAGATTACATATATATTTTGAATATATTATATACAAGAATAAAGATATGATCATAATACTTAGTATAATAAGTTTATGAATTTTAGAACTTTTACATAAAAGATTATTGATATTGACTTGGATATATATACATTTTAGTATTTCATTATTTTTCGATCAAGCAGTCGGTCAAGCAGGAGAGAGATATAGAGAGGTTTAAAGAGGGAAAAGTGTAGTTTGAGTCGCTTCAGGCCTTTTTAGCAATTAGGTTTGTTCGAAAGTTGTCCGAATCAAAGTAGGTTAACTTTTACCAAGTAAATTTTTATATGTTATAGAGATTAAGATTATGAATATTTTATGGAACATTTTTATACAATATTTTGGAAATTGTGTAATTTTTTATTGAACAGAAAATAATTCGGATCCGGACACTAGAAAAATAAAGTTGTAGTACAATTAATATCTAAAAATAGTATTTTATATAATGCTTAGAAATTTTATTACATTTTAAACCTTTGAATTTTTACCCAATTGGAATTTCTATTGTCTATCATAATAGAAAATTGTGTAATTCTGATGCATACTCAATTATGTTTTAATTGATATAATGTGATGAAATATGTACATTTGTAATAGAATTATGACTATGGGATATATAAGGGGTGAAATTTTATCTCTGTTTAGGAATTCATGTCCTATAAGGCATGTTTTGATAGCTATAAGCAATGCTTTGATACTTATGAGCATGTTCCGGTGCAATAAGGACAAAAGGGCATCAAAAGTGGCCAAACATTTTTGAGATTCTATATGGGATAGAGATATGTGATATGAATTGCTTTGTGATATAAACTGCTTTGTGATATAAACTATTCTATGATATGAATTTTAATTTATTTATCTGATATATATTATTATTTAAATAATTGGATAATTATTAAGTTCTTATTATCTTTCTCAATATAATAATTTATTAGACCTCATTTAACTATTTTTAAATATTTTTTCAAAAAATGATAAAATAATTTAAAATTTTAGATTAATTTATATGGCCAGCTGAGTTGTGATAGTTCACTATGATTTTACTTCTACTTTTTAGGATCTTGGAAAGGGATGTAGCTTGTTGATTAGCGATTAATAGTTCAGGATCTGATCAGACTTGATAGGTATTTCTATTTTGTTAATTTTTGTACAGTCATGACTAATTTATTATTCAGTTATATTATTTTTTAGCCATGTCCTATAGTATATATATTTTTTGATAAAATGAAAGAAATCTAATGAATGAGTTTATTTTTAGTACTTAAATAATTTAGTAACTCTAAAGTCTATTAATTATTAAAATAAAAATTGAAAGAGATTTTAAAATATTCTAAAACTAGATCTTGAAATTTGTTTGTCATAGTTTAACATGATAGGACGTGTCATAGTCGGGCTGGGTTATGACACAAGCTTTTCTGGTATCAGAGTAATAGTTTTGGAATTAGATCGTAAGATAGAGCTATAAAATTAATTTGTAAGTCAAGTGGGATAGTTTCACGTCTATTTGGGTGTTCATTATTATTTATTTAATATGCATATATATCAAATTATGTAGTTTATAAGTATGGATCTATGAGACCCAAATATGATAAATGGACAGAGTGCTAGTCAAGCAGCCCTTATAAATCTTACTTCTCTAATAGTCAATTTATATATAATTTCACAGTTTGCTAGTTTGATAGCTCAGATGATGAGTAATGCATAGAGCAGGGTTTCTACTATTAAATCTAATGATGTAAAAGGATATCTATAGATATTTTTTTAGATTAACATCTCTGAGGTTTGAGGGTGCTGCTGAGCTCTAGCTAGCAGAGGACTAGTTGAGGAGATTTGAGAATGACATATAATGGCATACAATATCCTCCTAAGCGAAAAGTGGCATTGGTACAATCCCACTTTATATATAATTAATATTGAACCTTAAGACTTATGCAACAAATTAAGAGCAGCAAATACTATTTATACAAAAGCAAAATCTCAAAAGCCAAAATTGCAAATCTTATTGTTTCAATGTTTATTTCTTATGGGCATGGCTACAACTGCTAATGCAGTGAGTTGTTGCACAAACAATCGTAACTGGCAAGATGCCTTAGTTAAAAAAAAATATAAAACTGGTTAAAAAAATATAAAACCCTAAAATTGGTTAAAAAAAACATAAAACCCTAAAATTTTAATTCTTAACACATGTCGGTGAAAACTATAAAATGAGGTGAAACCGTGGAAGAACTTGAATCCCAAGAACCTCCAGAACCAACAACACGAAAATAGCCAAAAACTCTAAAATATTAAATAGGCAAAGAGATACAAACAAATAAAAAATATGTCAGGCCCGGAATTTCACTGGTGACCGACTAAAGAAGGTGTGGCTCCGTCAGAAGCTATAGGCACCGACGAAAGAAACATACAAGGTCGAGAGCCGATGAGGCAACGAGGTCGAGAAGAAAAGAAGAGAGAATGCCATAACACAAGTCAAAACACTGGAGACCAAAATGCCAAATACGATGCGAATGCCATATAAAACATAGATGGCTAGTTTTTAACATACATGGGTTGTAATCTAATTCCCTTCGAGTTTCCGAGTCAACCCTAACCTGGTCCAATTTTTAAGACGGATCAAATTGCTGAACTCAAACTCAACCAGTACTGAAAATGGATTAACTAGGACCTGAAATTTTTTGGGTCGGGTCCAAGTCCGGTCGGTTATTGACACGCCCACTGTAATATAGTTTATTTTAATTTTAAAACTTTTCATTCTAAAATTCTTTTTTTTTTCTATGTGTTTGTCTATTCTCATATCATATTTTTAGTATAGGTCAGTTTTATTTATGAATAATTTCAATTTAAAAATATTTTTATTATATTATATATTATTATTATTATTGGCCTGTTACTCTTGGTTGCTCTTACACAAATATTTAGCTATCATTCTCTCTTAAAATTTTCTCGATCGAATGAGGAGAGGGCTCTTCTTATCTGAAATTACATCGAATGGAACGTCAAATTTTTGTTGGTTTGAAAATTTTCTTGGGGTAATTTAAGGATTTCACAATGAAGTACGGTAATGTTGTCTTCAGGGGATACGCCGTAACCTTACCAATTAAATCAAGGAGGTGTATCCATGTGGCATCGCGTCATTTATCTCGATAGGACCAAGCGGCAGATCGAACGGCTTGGATCGGTCGTCCTCTCAATTTACGAATTCTTTTTTTTTATTATATTTATTTATAAATTAAATTTATTATATTAATTCTATATATATTATATGTACAATAAAGGAGCAAAAAAAAAAATAATTGTGGCATCTAAATTATATTTATTATTTGAAAAGGTGTACAAATTAAATATTTACTATTAAAATATTAAAGAGCTTAAGCATATTAATTTAAATTTATTATATAAAAATAATAAATATATTAAAATTTTCATATTTTTTAGCTTGATTTGGAATGACTTTCTTACTATTTTTTTTTTTAACTTTGTCCTTAAATAAATGCTCATAAATATCTTTTTATTTGAGTATTTATATATAATAAATTTAATAAAAATTTTATCTTATTATTCAGATCATTAATTATTGATGAAATATTTACATAATTATATGATTCATAATTAATTTAATTGTTAAACTAAAAAAATTAACATTTTTATTTTCATCATTATTATTATAATAAATACTTTTGATTTATCTGAATAAATATTACAAGGTTAAAGAAAAATATAATTTATATAAAATCATCAAACAATAGTCAAAATTGCATTTTCTTCTATTAATAATATACCAATACTTAGGCATATATATAGTCATTAAAAAAAACTATAGAGTTATTAGATATTTTAATTACTACCATGGTTAAGTAGAAGCAGGGGGGTTGTTGTAAATTTGATATTCTTTGACCCTTTCATGCATAATTCTGAAATAAAATATGTAAATTTGGTTTTCTAACCATGATTCCGGGAAAAAATATAAAAAGCTTGCTAACCATGGTTAAGTTGTACCAACGCCTCTTCTCCTCGAGATGGTTAAAGCAGATTCGTAGGCGAATGCTAGCGAGCGATAGAGCGAACGAGGGAGGAGTGAGAGGGAAGCTGAGGTCAGTGAGGGGATTCCGCCTTGGAGAGCGGATTGCTGAGCCGGCGGAGATATATTGTTATTGGATCGTTTGCGGCTGTAGCCGCTCAACGGCGGAGGAGGTGACCGGCCAAAGGGGCGGCTGCGGTTGACGCGTTTTCTGCTAGATCTTGGACTTAGGTGAGTGTACCAAACTGATGCCTTTGATTCATGAATGGATCTTTCATTTTTTTTGGGCGATGGTTGATTTTACTTGGGATCGTACATCGTTTTCGTCGTTCTGATTCGACAAAGGGCGGGTGAAGAGAGTTCCTGTGATTTTTTGGTTTATTTGAATCTATTTGTCGATTTAGTTTCTGTTCTGGTTTGGCGATTCAACGGCCTTAAGTGCTTTCAACTTGATCTGTGGAGTACGATGGTATGAATGTTGAAAATGATGGGTAGTTGGTTGTGTTCGACCGGATTTTCGGGTGGCGAATATACCTCATGGATTTATTTTATGAAAAAAAAGAAGGATTATGGGGTGCGCTGTTTAACTATCTATGGGATGTGATGCTGTTTGGTAAAGATCTGGAGAAATACCGGGTATGCCAAGTAGAAATCTAGAACCTTCCAATTGTTCTTCGGCTTTTTGGGCTGCTTATTTATAAAATCATTTTTAAAGTTTCTATATCATTTTGATTATTTAGCTTGCATATTATGTTTTTTTTTTTCCTCGTAATATTCACTGTATCGCGATTTGGGCTCTGCTTCCTTAGAAGTGCCTTAATATGCCTGTATCGAGTAATCTTGCGATGTGAACAAATCATGAGCATTATGGGGAACTATGAGCGAAGAACTTATATGCTCTGTCTATTTATTTAGGATTCTCCTTTTTAAGATGATTTCACATCGCTTCTTGCGGCCATTTATTTGATTAAGTTGTTTAATATATTTTTCAACGATTTTTTGTTGTTGGGTTATGATTCTATTTTGCGAAGAATAAGGATTATAGGAGTTCTATTTTTAGATCTACGGGATGTTACGCTATTTTGTTGGATGGTCTTGGCAATTGTATTGTAGATTATTCTTCTTTTATATGTTTTCGGATCATTAATACATGCAATTAATCTATTTTTTTCAAGGTGTTTTCATATGCTGTTTTAAAATTTCCTTTCTCTGTGGATTGCTGGATTTTGAAAGAAACGAGAGCTAGTATATTTGTTTCCATTTTTTCATTCATTTCCTGGCAGGCCAAAACAATATATTTCTTTTCCTTGCTTCGTTTGTATATATATTCATAGGTATTACGCTATTTCCTGGATTTATGTTTTTGAAGATACTATTTTTACTGTTGATCTGATGTATATCATTAATTTGTCTATGTATTTACGTTAATAGTACATGCTTTATGACTCTATCTAACAACATAATGTATATCCCTTGACTCGGTGATAAGGAATTTGGAAATTAGTATAGTTATTGCATATATTGTTGATTTTTCATTTTTTAAATGTACAACTGCTGTATTACGCAACCGTTTTGTCCTCTGTTCATTTTATTTGTGATAATATATGCTTTTGGTCCTGAGTTTTATTTTAATTTGCTTATAGTTTTATTTGTAGCAGTTTTGCCTTGTCTGATATTACCTATTTACAGGCTTTTATTGTTCTTGGGCAAGTATCAGTTTTGATGATTTACCCGAAGTAGGAAGATACAATAAATGTCGACCACCTCCCTCCATTCTCATATCCTCTGATGCAGCATTCCTATACAGTTTAGCTTCTACATGATCGTTTGCATACAAATTCTTCTTCTCTCAACGACTGCATCATCAGCTGTGTTTGGTGTGCGTTCAAGAGTGAAGAAGAGGAAAAAGTAGGGACCTGCTGTTGCTGCTGTTTACAGCTGCAGTAACCTCAAAGTCCCTCTTTTCCTGTTTCATGTCTCCTAAATTGGACAGCCCAGTTCAGACTCAAATGGCTGTTGCCGTCCTTAATCGATCTCTCAATAACGAGTACCATGGTATTAAGAGTAGCGAGGGAAGACCCTCTTGGAGGCGGCGAGTGTTTGTCCAAACTGATACAGGTTGTGTCCTTGGAATTGAACTGGATCGTGGGGACAATGCCCATACAGTGAAGAGGAAACTGCAGATTGCTCTTAATGTGCCCACTGAGGAAAGTTCGCTGACATTTGGTGATCGTGTGCTGAAGAATGATCTCAGTGCTGTTCGAAATGATTCCCCATTGCTTTTGAGCAGGAGCCATATTCACAGAAGTTCTTCCACCCCTTGTTTATCTCCAACAGGAAAGGATCTCCAAAATAGAGATAGGAGTGGTCCGATTGAAATACTAGGATGCCCTAGTCGTTGCTTGGTAGCAAAACAGCTTGTGAAAAGTGTTGTGAAGGCTATCAAAAGTGGCATGGATCCTATACCTATTCATAACGGGCTTGGGGGTGCTTATTATTTTAGGAACAATAAGGGTGAGAGGATTGCCATTGTTAAGCCAACTGATGAAGAGCCATTCGCACCAAATAATCCAAAGGGGTTTATTGGCAAAGCTCTTGGTCAGCCAGGCTTGAAAAAGTCAGTTCGAGTTGGGGAGACTGGATTCAGGGAAGTTGCTGCATACCTTCTTGACCATGATAACTTTGCAAATGTTCCTCCCACAGTTCTTGTGAAGATCACACACTCGATGTTCAATGTGAATGAAGATGTTAGCTGTAACAGTATGCCTCCAAACCGGAATCAAATTCCTAAAAGCAAAATTGCTTCATTCCAGCAGTTCATATCTCATGACTATGACGCCAGTGACCATGGCACCTCAAATTTTCCTGTTGCTGCTGTGCACAGGATTGGAATACTTGATGTCAGAATTTTTAACACAGATAGGCATGCTGGGAATCTTCTCGTGAGAAAGCATGAAGATGGAGCTGCTAAGTTTGGTGGTCAAGTGGAGCTTATCCCAATTGACCATGGTCTCTGCCTTCCGGAAACCTTGGATGATCCATACTTTGAGTGGATCCATTGGCCTCAGGCATCAATCCCATTCTCCAATGACGAGCTCGAATACATCGCAAACCTCGATCCAGTCAGAGACTCCGACATGCTTCGAATGGAACTTCCAATGATCAGGGAAGCCTGCCTTCGTGTTCTTGTCCTCTGCACCCACTTCCTTAAGGAAGCCGCAGCCTCCGGGCTTTGCCTGGCAGAAATTGGTGACATGATGAGCAGGCAATTCACAGGAAGGGATGAAGAGCCAAGTGAGCTTGAAGTTGTCTGCATTGAGGCAAGGAGTCTGATATCTGAAAAAGAAGTATTCCTTCCAGAAACTAACATAGATGAAGATCAAATTCAGTTTGATATTGATTGTGAAGAGATTGACTCCAGGACTCCAAGCTACTATTTTGGCAGGAACCCTCTGTCAAAGTTAGATGAGAGTTTGGAGGACGACGACGAAGAATATGAAGATAAAAATGATTTGTTTCCTAACGTCAAGCAAACTTTGAATGCTTCGAAGCTGTCCTTTTCACTAAAAAGCATAAGTCTTACTGACAAAAGTCAGCGTCATCATGGAAAAACTATCAACAGCAGCGGATGGAGTAGAAGTGCGAACGAGCAGCTGCCAGTAAGTGCGAGCTTTGTGAATCTCGCAGATATGGGAGAGGAAGAGTGGGGAGCTTTCCTTGAGAAATTTCTTGAGCTACTGCAGGGCTCTTTCCGTGGCAGGAAGTGCAGGAGCGCTGAGCAGAAACAGAGGATGGGTACTTCCTGCCAGTTTTGAGTAGGAGAAAATAGGAGCATGTGAGGTGACTGCTTTCTTATTTGCGTTCTTCCTCGTTAGTAGTTTGGTGTTTGTTGTGGTAGGTGTAAGGAAATCGAAAGTGGGGTTTTTTTTTTCTTAAGAATAAAGCCATCGCAATGGAATCTCGAGAGTTGGATTGATGGAAGGCAGATGGGAGAATGATGTTGCATCTGTATATATAAACTTATGATGTCCAAGTTTAATATCTGTTACATGATGAAGGTGAGTCTGATGGCTTGCCTTTTTTTTTTCTCTTCCCTTTTTATCTCTTTATTATATTATATGTAGATTCATATGTAGCTTGTCTGAACTTTCTGTGCCAATCTTTTGAAGGAGGTTCATTTATGTGGACCTTATTGGCTTTACATTCATTTTTTCTGTTCTTCTCTTCTTGCTGCACCATTACAAGTTGCTCTTCCCCATCAGTTTGTGTTTAGAGAAGAGTATTATTTGTTGATGGTACTTTGCTTTTGCTTGTTAGATTTGGAATTATGAGTGTTGTGAGCCTCATCAATTCATTTGATGTGTTTGTAGAACTTCATATTAGTGAGCATTCTTTCTTCTGTGATTTGTTTCATGTAAAATTACCTGTTTTCTAAATTTCCTTTCCAGCTGAGTGGGGTTGCTGAAAAACTATTGACCTGTATTTATATGCTATATGAACATCAGATGATAAATAATTGATTTGTGTTACTCATGCAAGGGGTAGAACATGTAGTGATAACATAGGATAATACAAGTATTGTTGCGTCTTGGAGTATTCGCGGTGGTAGAGAAATATATAGTTTAACGTCTTAGTATTGTACGAAAATTCAGCACACAATCAGATAGTGTAGTGTTCATAAGAGACATCAGAGTTTTTACGTGGAAACCCCTGAAAAAGGGAAAAAATCACGGGGCTTAGCCCAGTTTGAATGAATCCATTAGTATTTCCAGTCGATTACATATGAGGCCCTTCCTTATGAGAAGACCTTGGCTTGATGGTACAAATGTACATCATATAGAGTGTATTATATGGTGGGAGTTATAATATAGACATATTTGTTTGGTTAGCACGATCATAGTCGGTAGGATGGAGACCGGAAAGACTGTTTTCTGGTGATGGAGGTTGGAAGGACCATTGTAGTTGATGGAGGTCAGAAGGACCGTAGTCGACGGGAGATCAGGGTCAGAAAAACTGTTATCTAGTGATGGAGGTCGTATGGACTATATTAGGTGACGGAGGTCGGAAGGATCGTAGTCGGCAGGAGATTAGGGTCTAAAAGACCGTAGTAGGAGGACTGTACTTCGGGAGAACTCCGGCAGAGCAACGGTGTCAGGCTGTGGTCCGACGGAGGTGAGTGCCTTAAGTGGTGGTCCGGCGGAACAACGGCGTCAGGCGGTGGTCCGGCGGAGGTGAGGGCTTGAAGTGGTGGTCCGACAGTGCAAAGGCTTCAGGCGGTGGTCCGGCGGAGGTGAGGGCCTCAAGTGGTGGTCCAGCGGAGCAACGGCGTTAGGCGGTGGTCCGACGGAGGCGAGGGCCTCAAGTGGTTGTCCGGCGGAAGTCCGGCAGTGGTCGAGGAGGAGCTTCTTCATTTTCTTCCTTCTCTTATTATTTCTTCTCTTCTTATTTCCATCCCCTTTCAAGAGGAATGATGTGTCTATTTATAGATTTCTGGAGTGGCATGACCCGTAAATAGGTGAGAGATCAAGGGAAAATGGGGAGTGGTTGGATGGACGACCGATATTGAATCCCTTGATTTTACACCGTTTATCAGACATTTGAAGGCCTTAATGATGTCGGAATTCAGCGATCTTGGACTCGTTGGATTCATCTCGTCGAGCCGCTTCATTCAACTATAAGCTAGTCACGTTTGAAAACCGTTTGGTAACTCAAACAGTGGTATGAAGCTTCCAACAGTGCTTCGGGTCATTAATTTGGACTCATTTGGGCTCGTATTGAGTCGAATTTGGTGTCGTTGAGTTTGTATTTCCGAGACGCTCAGTTGGATTAATTTGGACTCGTTCGACAGTAAGTTTGCTGAAATCGAAGTTCGGATGGTCCCAATTTTAATTTCGGAAGTTTCCAACTTGATTTTGCATCGAGATTCGTGCCCGATCAAGATAATTTTTTGATAATGTATCAATTATAATATCAAACGATTAGAAATAAAATTAATCGATCAAAGATGATACATTTATAGTTTGTAGTCCAAAATTAGTTGAAGAATTTATGATGAAATTTATAGGAGATAATTTTTTAAAAAAATTTGACTTAAAATAAATGAATATAATGTAAAATAAAATGTTGATAGCTGTCGATGGTTAAATTTTAAAAAGAACTCCAGAGAAAAAAAAAAAAGATTTACTAATATTTGATATTGTATTTTCTTTAGTAAATCAAACTATTCTTAAATGGATTAAATTTGAATTTTTTTTAAGCCCCAAAAATTGTTCTGATTTATCATTTACTATTCTATTAAAAAAAACATTATGATAATCCCTGCTAGTGACATGCCACAATTAAATTAATATGTCATGTTGCTATTAATTTGATTTAATTTTGATTATGATAAGATGTCTAATCAACAGGACTGGACGATACAGTTGTGCTGAATAATGGTGATGAGAGCCATACCCACACTGTTACTCTTTAGATATTCATTTCATCAAATATTGTCCTGTTTATACAAATGTGTACGCAAAACAACCTTCTTTGGGGCCGTGTAAATGATGTGGACGCGAGCATATTGATCTATCAGCAAGTGGACAAAAGACTTTGATAAATTTATTTATATGTAAAATATGTATATATCTTCGAGCTGTGGCTGTGCAGAAGGAGATAATGATTGAATGAATGAATAAGGGAGGTCTCTGTATTCTTTATGTGCAGAAGTTGAATGGAGCACCCGGTTTTGGACAGAATATGGGACCAGTGGAGTTGTCTGATAGTTACCGTTGGGCCGGTTTTTTGAATTGTTGAAGGCAGTTTCCATATGTTCGGTTTTAAACATAGCTGTTGTGTATGGTTAGTCTTGAGGATGGTACGTTCAACGGGTTTTATGTTGGTTGTTGATTATCTAATATAATTCTTTATTTTGTTTTGTCATGTATAGATTAAGAATATGTATAGAAAAGTTGTTACTAGTATTTGAATATAAGGTGGTTTGACTAAGTATTTTTTTATTTCAATTGTATTATGTCAAGGTTTTGTTTTAAGCTCGTATATTTTGGTTTTAGTCATTGATGTTCTTAGAGGCATTTGCAAGAGGATGTGTCATGTTTTATGCTTTTTTTGTTGATGATATTCTTCTTGTTGATAAGACTATACTGTGAGTTGATGAAAAATTTGAATTATGGAGGTGAATCTTGGAGTCTAAAGGTTTTTGTTTGAGTATATCTGAAACTGAATATATGGAGTGTAATTTTAGTAGTGATAGATCTAGTGTTGGGATTATGACGTTGGATGATCAAGTCATTAAAAAGAATGTATGTATTAGATATCTCAAGTCTATTGTTTGAAGCAATGGTGAAATAGATGAGGATATTATTAGTATAATTCAAGTTGGATAGTTAAAGTACTATTTTGTGATAGAAAAGTATCCCTCAAATTTAAGAGGAAAATTTATAAGATGGTGATACATGCAATGCTTTATGTTGTATAATGTTGGGTATTAAAAGAAAATAATGAAATTAAGTGTTGTAGAGATGAGAATGCTCAGGTGAATGAGTGGTTTTGTTATAGTTGGAGATAAAATGTGAAGCGAGTATATATGTGAAAAGGTTGGAGCAACTTCAAGCCTTAGATGATTTGGTCACTTCAAGCCTTAGATGATTTGATCACTTCAAGCCTTAAGAAACTAAAACATGTTGGCATAAGCTTTCTAGTACCGTTTGATGTCTGCTTTGCAATTTGATTTCACTTTTGTATTCTAGACATAATGAGTTATTTTGTAAATATTTTTATATAATCTTAGAACTCCATATTGAAAGATATAAAATGATTTATAAAAATTTTATGTTAAAAAATTAAGTAATTTATAGAATTACATAAATACCCTTAGTAATTTTATTATAAAAATCACATCTCACTGACAGAACTTCATAAATGGATTTTTCATTTTTATTTCCCTTAAACCATAGCAAGCATCAACTAATCCTACAATAACAGCTAATGATCAGCATTAAACATCTTAATTAATCTCTTAAAGCCTCCAACGGCAACAACATCTTTCAGGTTACAAATTTTAAATCAAGGCATTGCATCTATAAAACATACGGCCAAATGCCAATCTCCATAATGCACCCATTCAAACTTTGAGTAAATGTAAACAATACACATAGAAAAACAGCAAAAACTGGATAATGCAACCATTCAACCATTTGCAACCATTCAATCTCACAAAAGCCAGTAATGCATACTCACCGGGGAAGATGACGCCGCGAGCAAGCAGGAGATTTTACTTCTTGAAATCTCAGCCGTCCGGAGCCGGAGAAGATGACGCCGGAGCCGCGAGAAGATGATGCCAAGGCGGTGGAGCGGGGGCCGCGATACGAATACGTAATAGGCTTTTTTTTTTCTCCACGTGCCATTCTATATCTCCATGACTCTGTCGCTTGTCCGTTAGGCCGCTCAGATGGCATCTGAGCCATCACTTTTCCTTTTTAGCGAACCGAATGGTTAAATTCCTTCAATTAATACGTATTCCTTTTGAACCAATCTTCTACTTATAAATGATTATGGTGTATTTGCGATTTTACCATATTTTGTTGAGGATATATACTTATGTGTGTTATCTACATTGTAAAAAATGATTCTTTAATTAATTGAAATAATTTACTATTATATCTAGTTTTAAAATTAATAAATAGTTGTTATAATGCATTAATCATATGTAAAAACATGTGTCAATTTTTCATCTTAAAATATAGTGATTGTGCTAAATAATATTCATTGAAATTTATCATATAACATCTCATGATATTTATCCAATTATATTTGAGAAGATATTTATCCAAATAAATGCTGAGATAGGAGGTTATCTTAGATGCATGCATTCGATTTATAAATTTAGGCTTCGTTTGAGATAGCTTCTTACTGCTTAATGAAGCAGTTTTTTATTACAAAATTTTGTACTAAGAAATTGTTTCATAAAACAGTAAGAAAGTTGTCACAAACAAAGTCTTAATCTTTCATATTTAAAACTAGAATCATTTTTGGAATGAGTTAGGGTTTAGATTTAGTAGTATGTTTGATATTTTTCTTCAATGGATTATTGAGAATTTCAGATTAGTAAAGGATTTCACATTTTTTTTTTTTTTTTAGAGGAAATCATCTCATTGATGTTGGAAGATTTTTAATTTAAACTAAGAAATCGAGCTCAACAATCACGTCAAGCTCAAGCTTTCCAAACGAGCTAAATTCGAGCCTATAAATTTTTTTAGCAAGTCAAACTCAAACTTAGTAAATGAGCTTAAGTCGAGCTCAAGCTCAATAATAACTAAACAAACTTAGCTCGTTTATGCTGTTACTCAACTCGTTTACACCTCTCGCATAAGAGGTTAATTTTTAATGCATTATAGAGGGCCACAAGCTAATTGATTGTAACTCAACAAATGATTCAATTCAAGTGGAAATCAAAATGATGACATTACCAATAGATTGCATGAACCAAACCTACATTGATGATTGTTCTATTCCATAAATACTATTACAAAACAACATGTTTTACACATTTCATGACATAAATACAAACACAAATGCAAAAATAATAATAATTATTATTAACTAGGCAGCCATAGTTGTTAGTCCCCAAGATCTCTGAGCCATCCTCACACATTCTCCAAATCTAAAGCAATCAACAACGTGATCTATGGCCATTCCTGTAGCCTGCATGAAGGAATAAACAATAACAGGACCAACCAAGCGAAATCCTCTTCTCACCAAGTCTTTGCTTATGGCTTCTGCCTTTGGAGTCCTCAGAGGAACACTTCTTGGGTATTTGTATTTGTTCACCATTGGTTTGTGATTCATTTGACCCCATATGTACCTACTGAATGATCCAAACTCCTTTGCTACCTAAATATTGCATTAGAAACATAAAATCATATGATAATAAGTTTTTAGTTAAATTTTTAAATGACATGTTTGGCTCCTATTTATGATTGGTTTAAGCTTGTTAATGTGAGATAAGTAGAAATAAAAGTCTTAGGCTTCATTAGGGATGACTTTATTACTGCTTTGTAAAGCTGCTGTCCGAACCCGAAATTTTCGGGTCGGGTTCGGGTCGGGTTTTCGGGTCGGGTCCAATATTGACAAGTCTAGCTGCTGTAGAGAAAGTGATTTTTTTAAAGTTGTTGTAAAGATAACTTTTAAATACAAAATTTTTTTGAAAGCAATAAAAGAAGTAGTGGACAAATAGAAATTATGATTTCGAATTGAAAAACAAAGCATTAAGAAAGTTATCCTAAATGGAGTCGTAATCAAAGAGGTTTGATTAGATTAGTTAAATAGATAAGAAGGCATAATTAAGGCTAAAAATTATTTGGAGTGGAAAGCTTTATTTATAAGTTAAGCCTTCTAAGCTAGTAGAAATAATTAAATATTGATACTTAGGCTTCGTTTGGAAAAACTTTCTTACTGCTTTCTTAAGCAGCTTTTATTAAGAAAAAATAAATTTTAATTTTTTGTATTAAAATATTGTTTTACAAATTAGTAATATACCAAATCAAGTCTTAGTAAGTGATCCTAATTATTTGGTGGCCTAATAGTTCAAAAAGGCTCATTTGATATATATAGCATTTAAGTGGAATAATTGTTGAATGAGAATTGCCCTAATTTTTAAGTTTTGCATCTATTTAATAGTTTTGAATTTCAGTACACAACAGTTTTGGCTTTACTCCAGCTACACTTAGGCCTATTTCTTTTTTTTTTGGTTAAAAATTATAGTTCTAAAAAAATAAGAAAATCAAATACTCTTTATATCATACTTCTTAGTGGTGGAACTGTGGAGCCAAATTTTCTCATAATAAATAAAGCCTCAAGGATACAATTTAATTTTCTCATTACTATGGGAATACTTTGAAATTCTCATATTAATGAAAATTATAGAGTATTAATTTATTGAATTTGAAAAATCTTATGAGATCCTTTTTGGACTTTGGAAGACCATGCAATGTCTTATTGTATTAATTTTGTAATGAATTTTATATTTTGAAATGTATTCCTTATTTTTTGTATGAATAGGACCTTAGAAAGAAGGAATTGAAATCTCATAATCATAAGCAAATAATCAGAAGCAAAGTGATATATATGTCTCTTAACTTTTATGAAGATAAATACTTGGGATATTCCTTTTTATTGGCTTAATAAAATATATAATCATTGTGTATATATAGGTGAATTTCATCAAAGTACCTAAACTTGAGTGTCTTATATTTAGTATCTATATTTTCTTATTCTCTTGTCTTTATTTAAAGTTGTATTGTTTTTCTATCAACTATTATGATATCTTTAGTAACACTCCCATTGGCATGTCCCAAGTCTTGAATAAGAAAAATGAAGGGTTGTGTTAGGTAGTTGATAATCAGTATAAAACTTATTAAATAATCATGACATGAATCATTTAATATATTATGTTAATGCTAGGACATTCCCTAGATGCGATGCACTGTATGACTTGAATTAATTATGATTCAAATGATGATAAATATTTTATGCATTTAGAAAACTAAATGGGTTGGAGAAAATGCTAAAGAGATTGATAGTTTAAGATTTAAACTATGATATTCAGGTATGAGTTGTATTAGAAAGGGTATATGTGTATTTATAGATAAGAGTTTGAAGGATAATGATATAAAAATTAATAGAATTTGAGATAGAATTATATATTTAAAGATTTTTATTGATGTTAAAATTATTAATATTATAAATGCTTATGCCTCTCAACTCTCGAGTATGTTTGGATTTATGTTCAAAATTAAAATTTTAGAATAACTTAAAAAAATTAATAAAAATGATAGCTCTTGAAGAAAAAAATTTTATTAGAGGCAATTTAAATAGACATGTTGGTTGAATTGCAGAAGATTTTAAATGTATTGATGATGATTATGAGTTTGGAGTGACTAATGAATATGATAGGACTATATTAAATTTTTCTCTAGCTTATAATTTTATAATTATTAATGCATTATTTAAAAAAAGAGAGGAGAATCACATCACTTGAGAGAATGGGTATAGGAAAGCACAGATTAATTATTTTCTTTTAAGAAAAAAAGACCATTTAGATTACAAAGATTATAAAATTATTCTGAGTGAATATTTATATATAAATATCGTTTATTAATTTTTGGACTTTAAGATGAATATGTAGAATATAAAAAATAAAATAAAATATTATCTTTAAATTAGATGGGGATATTTAAAGAACACTAATAAAAATATTTTTAAGAGTATATATATATATATATGTGTGTGTGTGTGTGGGGGGGGTGCGCCAAGCAAACAAAAAAGAGAAGGATTTAGTTCAAGTGAATTGAAGTGCATTAGAGATGAGATTAAAAAGTAATTTATTAGAAGAGAATATTCAATAAAGGTGGATGAGACATTTCAATAAGTTTTTCAATGAAAATTATGAGAAAACGATTAACTTTAGTAAACTTGGCATCCTAATGAAAATACATATTTTTGTTTTTATCATCATATTAGAAAAACCAAAGTTAGATAGATTTTAAAGAAAATGAAATGTGAAAAAGTTGTTAGACCTGATGATATTCCAATAAAGGTGTAGAAATGCTTAAAAGATGAAAAAATTTCTTGGCTAACAAAACTTTTTTTTAAGACAAAAAAAAAATGCAAGTGAGTGGAGTGTGTTGATTTCTATTTTTAAGAATAAATGAAATGCACAATAGTGTGTAAATTATAGAGGAATTTAATTAATGTGTCATACATTAAATTTATGGGAGAGTTATTAAGCATAGGTTACAATGTGTTACTAATAGTTCTCAAAATCAATTTGAATTTGTGATGGGTAGGTTTACTATGGAAGCTATTCATTTATTGAGAGGTTTAATGGAGAAGTATACAGAGATCGAATAAGAAGGATCTACATATGATATTTATTGATTTAGATAAGCATATGATAAAGTTCGAGCGTAAGTGCTCTAGCTAGTAGAAAAGAAAAGAGTTAATAATGCTTATATTTAAGTCATTAATGATATTTATGTAGGAGTTGTTACTTGTGTTCAAACACAGGGTGGTTTGACCTAGTTCAGTTGGATTACATCAAGGATCACCTTTAAGCTCATAACTTTCTTTTTTAGTCAAGAATGTTCTTACTAGACATTTGCAAGAAAAGGTTCTCTAGTGTATGCTTTTTATTGATGATATTCTTCTTGTTGATAAAACTAGAGAGAATTGAAGGAAAACTTGAATTATGGAGGTCAACCTTAGAGTCTAAAGGTTTTTGTTTGAGTAGATATAAAATTGAATACATGGAATGTAATTTTAATAGTAATAGATCTACTTTAGGGATTTTGACTTCAGGCAATCAAGTTTTTAATAATAGTAGACGTTTTAGATATCTTAGGTCTATTGTTCAAAGTAATGGAGAAATAGATGGGGATATTATTAGTTGAATTTCAAGTTGGATAGTTGAAGTGGATGAATGCATCAAGCATGATGTATGATAGAAAAGTTCCCCTCAAATGTAAGGAAAAAAATTTATAAAATGGTGGTAATACCTGCAATGCTTTATTTCATAGAATGTTGGCCATTAAAAGAGAAGCATGAATTTAAGTGAAGTGTTGCAAAGATGAGGATGTTCTCATGGATGAGTAGCTTCACTCTTAATGACAGAATGTGAAATGAGTATATACGTATAAAGGTTGGAGTAACTCCAATGGTAGATACGATTAGAGAAAGTAGCCTTAAATGGTTTGACACATTAAATGTTAGCCTTCTGATGACCTGGTAAGGAGAGTATATGTATTAGATTTAGCCTATGTTAAGAAATGTAGAGGTAGACCTAAAAAGACTTGATTAAAAAATATTAGAAGTAACTTTTTATATTATGTTCAAATGAAAATTTTATTCTTAACAAGACACAATGCAGAAAAAAGATTCATGCAGTCGACCCCACGTAGTAGGATAAAAGGTTGATATTGTTGTTGTTGTATTATGATATATTTAATCTAACAAGCTTTAAAACTTTGACTATTGGCAAGGAGAGCAAAATCATTAAGCTTAATGGCCAAAATTGTAAGAGATTATTGAAATTATGGAGCCAATTTTGCTAATCATAAAATCTTCATAAAATATAGTTGAATATCCTTTTTAAATATTTATTTTAACTAATCTATTTTGTTGTCTTTAACAATATAGGATCTAATTCAAATGTTAATATGAAATTTTTTTTTCTCAAAAAAAAAAAAAACTTAAAGAGATCTTGTGAACTATAAGAGATCTTATAATATATTATGGGATCTTTGTAATAAGTTTTATATTTTCAAAATGATTCATTATTACCACTTTTAATAAAACCTCATAAAGAGAGATTAACATCCCACAATCACAATAAAATAAAAAGGATAAGAGAAAGAAAATAGGGGCTACAAAATGAGAGAATAAGGAGATGAGTTGTTCTAGGTGCTTGTATAATGGAGATATCCTTATTTAAGAAGAATAAAGTGCTAGTGGTTTTTGTTCAATTAAAAAGATGAGCTTTCAGTTACATCAGGGAGAAAATCATATTTGAACTCTTGCAAAAGAGAAAAGAAGAGAGTAGTAGCAACAATAATGCCTTTCTTTTTCATGTCTAATGCTCCCCTTCTCATTAGTTGGCTACATTCTCTCCAAATTTGTATAAAGAGAAATCCTTAGTGTACCCCTCCATTTGAACTTAATGGAATAGTTAATCTTTATATATGTCCATAGAAGTAGATGAATATCAACAAACTACATAAACTTATGTATCTTATATTTATGATCTCTTGTAGTTATATCTCTCATCTTTATTTACTTTTTGTTCAACACTTTCTTACTAGCCTAGCATTTATAACCTTCATTAACTACAACTTCATGCATTAATAATATGCTTAAATTTCAAACATTGCTAAAACTCCTCAAAATTTCAAGTAAACGACATGGAAGTGTTTGTTTATGCTTATTGATACCATGAAATAAACATATGAGAAGGTACTTTATACTATTAAGATTTCATTTGGGACAGCTTTCTTACTTTTTAAAGCAGCGTTTTAGTACAAAAAAATTTTTACTAGAAAGTTACTTAAAAAAACAGTAAGAAAGCTATCCCAAACTAAAGCTAAATCACTTCTATGCTGCAAATTCCATTACACAAATATGTGCTCCCAATAAATAAACAGAAATGCAAAACTATATGTGGCTTTCTCACAGATCAATTAAAAAAAATGATGATTAGTCAACAATTAATAGTCCAAGCATTTGTGTACCTTTTGTATACATTTGGCATTGTCAATTATGCACCTTACTCTGCTCTCAGCTAAGTTGAGTTCCTTGTTTGAGCTAATGACCATCACATCATTTTCTTCCATTTTTACAACAACATCATAATCAAACTTCGAAAAAGCATCTCTGTACCAAAATTTTTATTAAAAAAAAATTATTTATATTGCTTTCATCTCTCTCTCTCTCTCTATATATATATAGTACTAAACAAGTAAAATTATTTAAATTTATGAGGAATGAAATGTAAGAGGATCATGCATCTTACAACCTGTATAGCTCCCTTCTCTTGAGAATCTCTGTCCAGTTGTGATCAATCAGCATTCCACACAGTGCAAGCAACTCAAAAAGCCTCCTGAAACCAACATGCATGTTCATCATATTATAGCGCTCTCTCTCTCTCTCTCGTTAAACTATAGCTTCGTTTGGGGCGGTTTTCTTCATGCTTCTTAAAACAATTTTTTTGTACAACAAATAAATTTTTTGTACTAAAAAGTTGCTTTAAAAAGCTGTTTAAAAACTGTCCCAAACGAAGCCTACATTTCAAAAATGTGTTACAGATTTACCTGTCATTGTAAACGGGCACGCCCCAACACTCGTCATGAAATGATACATACAGTTCGTCTGCAGTGAAATATGTAAGAGTTCTTCATGAATTACATAGTATAATTGTTCAGAAATGTTTTAGAAATTTCACAGAAAGAATACACAGATTCATAATGGTAGGAAAAAATGAGAATATAGGCTGTTATTTAATTTTTATATGATTATAACTATAAAAAGTTTATATAATTATAATTAAACTATATGAATACAATTAGCGTAGCAAAAAATTAACAAATTAAATATGATAGAAGATGAGCTTGTTTCTTAGAAGATTAAGGCCATGTTTGAGATTATTTTTTTATTGCTTCTTAAATCAATTTTTTAGTACAAAAATTTAAATTTTTGTATTAAAAAATTACTTTAAGAAACATTAAAAAATCTGTCAAGCCTAAATTTGCTGCATCCAAGCTTTTTTTAAAATATTTAATTTTTTGTATTTCATGTTGTCATATTTGTAAGAATATATTGCAATCAACCCAAAACTAATATGTATAATTTCTTAGGGTTGTTAAAAACAGGTCAACAGGGTTCGAGTCCAACCCAAAACTAACCCAATTTCGACTCATTTTATAAATGGCTCAAAAAATTAAACCCGAACTCAACTCGCTAGTAATCCAAAACTGACTCAATAACCCGTTTTAATTAATATATATTTTTAAATTTTAAGTTAATTGACAAAAAAATTTAGAAGATTATATCAATAAAAAAAAATATTAAACAAATTAATTTCATGTCAAACTTGAGTTGGGGGTTAACTAAAATCCAACCCGTTTAATAAATGAGTTTGAATGCACGACCCAAATCTGACCTTTTTTATTAAATGAGTCGGCTCAAATCTAAATTTTTTAAAGCCGGGTTGGCATATCAGATCATTTTTAACACCCCTATAATTGCTCTCATTATTGGATCTGGACTACGTGTGATTTGATCCCTACAGGACAAGTAGATAATTGACTAATCTTTTTGGTTTATGAAAGATCTAATCATATTGTAACTTTTTATTTCGTGTAATAGAAGTTATATAATTTAAACCAAAAAAAAAAATCATTTTAATTTCATTTCATGTAATTTTAATTTTTTATATAGTAAATATTTAAAATGATTTATAAATAATCATAAATATCATACAAAATTTATAATGCAATTTAAAATTTATAAATTATATCCTTAAATGAGCACATAAAATTAGTATCAAAGAATTAAGAGAAAAAAGAAGCAAATTATAATAACATAAATGGAAATTATTGATAAGAAATTTAGCAAAATAAATTAACATCTCATATAACACTCAAATAGAAATAAATGAAAAATAAAAACCTGTAAAAACAGTCAAGATAAAGATAATATTAATGATATTGAGAATTTTATAAACAGAATTACCACTGTTTTTGGTTATCCAATTGCACCTCTTCAAGCTTGCAGGCTCACCACACCCCAATCCCTCTCTTCCAAAATCTTCTTCTTCTTCTTCCCTCTCTTTCAATAATTCAAATTCTGCACCATCCAACCTCCCCTTAGCCACCCCACCAACTGAAGTCTCTCTCCTCCCCCATGAACGAAAAATTCGTCGGAGCGAGAATGGCAACTTGTGATCCAAGCTCGATATCGAACTATTGAAGGAGGAATCATTCGAGTTTTGCGAGAGCGAAAGCGAGGATAGAGTGAGGCTTGAGCTACTCCTATGAATGTCAATTGATGGACAAATTTTTTTCAGTTGCATCAATGGAGAGCTCTTCGTTTGTGTTCTCCTCTCCAGTTCCTTCAAGCCTGGGCTTCTCTCAAATGCAAGTCCTCCATGGCTTGGAGTAGGCATGCTTAAGAACAGCACCTGAAATAATAAAGCAAATTAAAGGTAGAATCTGAAGATAGCAGGTTGGTTTTGTTCATAAATGTAAGGGATTATAAATAATGCATGTTGTTATGAAACTTGGAAGCAGATTTATGTAGAGTTAAGCTCTGGCTTAGCTGGTTGGTTCAATATAAATTTCATGGCAGTTATGTGAAAGCTACTTTATATATTTTGAATGACACTGTAACTAATACAAGCTTAAGTTTGCATTAAACTCAAAACATTTCTGTTAAAGTGTAGCCTTCAAATAAGGTGAAGCTGACTTCTTTTACAAGGAGTGCTTATTTTCATGATAATATTTTATTCAAGCTCAAGCTTATATATATGTTAATGGTGTTTCTTGTATAGTTTTCATCATTGAAAAATATGAAATAAATTAGGTTGAAGGGCTTCATCTAATGGAGTTAGGGAGTAGATTACAAGTTAGCTTAAGCCAAAGTCAGGCCTTCTTGAGTGACACACTGCCTTAAAGGACAGGGATGTGCTATCTTTCAAAAACCTTGTGGGCTTCTAAGCTTAGCTGTGGGGGACCTCTTTAGGGCCCTCTCTGTTTCATAGAACAGGTTAACTACTTTATTTTTTTTAAACAGATATTTGAAACAGTGGAAGTTGGGATAAGAGTGGCATCTGCCAAAAAAAGGTCTTTATCTTTGCACCAAATTCAATCTCTTACCAAAGACATGAATCTCTTTGATTGCATTGAACCATTTATGAAAGTTATACAGAGAAATAAGCAACTTTCTGGAAGCATAATCAATAATGGAGCACAAATGCGCAATTGTAGAAAGATTAAGCAAATTGAAGGCAGTTGCAAATAGAAATTTTATTGATTCATGGATCAAATAAATAAATAAAACAAGTCACCATTACCTACTTTAAATGTAAAGCACAATCTAATAGCAATTCTAATATATTTTTGACGGCGGTGATGATGACGAGAACAATATCAAGCCTTCATCCCACTATATGGGATCGGCTACATGAATCCTTTAAAGCCATATAGAAATGAAAGAAATGAGTATTACCATGCCACAACGTGGGATGAAACCATATTTGATCATTTATCATTTTAAGAGCAGCTTCAGAAATGCAGGTAGCTCTGAACCAATATGAAAGATAGTTGATCAACGAGAACTTCATCAATTGTAACCTGTTTGTAGAAGAAAAAAATGTTTTGCTTTTGACCTGCTATCCAAAAAATTAAGCTTGCCAAATAGTGGTGGGCAATCCAGCATTTTCAACTTCTCAGAACAGATAAGGAACCTGAGGATATTTAAAAGGTAGAGACATAGCAGATCAAAACCACAAAGGAGGATAAAGTGCCAAAGTTGGTAACATATCGAGAAAGATAATATTTAATTTTTTTATATTAACTTATAAGTCAAATATTTTCTCTAAATTGAGTCAAAGAAGATAGCAAAGAAGAGGTAGTATCCTCATTAGCATGCAAAGAAAAAAAAAAGTAGTTCTTCAACAAATATCAAATGAGAAACAGATATCTCATTATGAATATTAATTATATAGCTATTGTCGTCACATTTCTCTTTTATTATACAACATAAAAGCGCCATTGTTATAAAAAAGAGAGCAGGAGAGATACCGGTTGCCTTGCCTGAGATCGGATTTGAGTTTAAACATCCATGCAACTGACCATTTATAATAACAAGGAAAGGTATAGAAGGTATGCAACCACTTATCTAATTCACAGATAGTTGGGAAAGACAATGTGCAAAAGACAACCAATCAAATCTTTCTGAGTAACATGGTCAAAAGCCTTCCCATGTAGTGCGCCAACCTTAGCACAAAAAACTTTAAGACCAAATTTTTTCTTAAACTTACTCAGAAATGTTTGTACCTAAATAACATTGTCTAACTTAAAAATTAAAATAAAATAAAATAACATTTTCTATTATGTCTCTACCTTCCACAAAGTCTGCTTAAGCTGGGTTTATAATCTTAAAAATGATGACTTTAGTTCTATTTGCATAAACTTCACAAATGAATTTGTAAACGTCATTACAAAAAAAGTTGGTCTAAAGTCAATAATGAGATTAGAATTAAGGTTTTTGTGAATCAAAGCTATAGTAGAATGCTTAACATTTGGGCAACTTTAGCTATTTTGAAAAAAGAGCTATACCATGTACGGAGCTTAGGTCTTTACCTTGACTTTGAGCTTATTCCAGCATTGTTAATCACATCCGTATAACCCATACAGTTGATCCAGAAATTTTTAAATCATAACCTATGATGGGATTATAGAGAAGCGTCAATGGCAATATCAATAGGAGAATGATCAGAACACATACTTGGCATCACATAGTAAAAAGAGATTGGGAATTTCTCCAGCCAATCGATGTTAACTGGAGCTCTCTCTAATCTAGATCTTACTGGATTATTCTCCTGCTCGTTAAACCAATAGAAAGAAAGTCAAGTGCTACATTAGTCCAACAAACCAATTATGTGGATACAAAGATTAAAATTAGTAATTTTAGAATGCCATAGCTGTGAACACCCAGTTTTGTCATATGAACCCCTAACGCAGTTAAAATCTTCAGTAACCATCCATGCAGATAAATAGAATCAAAGAGAGAAAGAATAGCAACCTAAAGACCTTTTCTTCCAATAGCAAAATTCAACGAGTTAGAATTCCATATTAGGAGAAAATAAAGGTACCGTAGATAAATTGTGGATGAATATGAAGTGGATTGAGTTGCATCTCACTAGAGTTCCACTTAATATGGACTCTCCCACTAGAGGCACACAAGAGGAATACAGCCACTTTGCAATAACATTATTCATCCCAAAACTAGTCGCAAACCCTTATTTGTGACTGCGAAGCATTTCGTTGAGATGGTCAAAAATTCCTTATTTAACCTGTTGCAATAACGATTAATTGTAGAAAAAAAAATATTTAAATTGCTCCAACGGCTACTGGAAGCTAGAGCTCCAGGCGATTTTTTGTGAATGTAAGCTGCCACAAAAGGTTGTATAATAAATAGGAATTGGTACCTGAGGGGGATAGATGGTGAGGGAAAAGGCTAGCAGCACCTAAGGGAGCTAGATGGCGAGGGTGGCAGCCAGCGACACCTGTGGGAGCCAAATAATTCGATTCAGGGGTCAATGAAAAAAATAGGAGAGCCATAAGACAAGAAAGGAGATGAAACTATTAAATTCATCAAAATAGATGATGTCACATAGCGTCACAATGATCATTCGAAAGAGGAGAAACGTTGAAATAAGAAATTATGGCACAAGCAGTCAATTTAATAATCTTTTGCGATAGATCATGACAAGCCATCACAAAACTGGTTGTAGTAGAACAATATCCAGATAGTGGTAGAATTAAAATCGTGACAACTACCTTCAGTAGGATATAACATCAAACTTCAAGCAAAAAGCGTCTCAAAAAATAGTTCAAAGAAGTACTTTGTTCAAAAAGACAAATAAGGATGATATTATTTGGGATGATCAATTTCCTCTATTCAGGAACTCTACCTCTTCCCTGGATGCCCCTAATAATCTACAATACTAATGTCCAAAATGACATTGGGGGTTTGAAATCTTCTTTTTTTTTTTTTTTTTTGTTAAGATTTGGGATCAGAAGGAATATTATTAAATGTGTGTGTGTATCATACTCCCATGCAGAGCAAGGTACCAAACTCACTTCAGGACAAATCAAGAAGCCCCTCTCGTTCCCTTCAAGACTTTAAATTCTCCAACTTGGCTCTTGCAGTATATATATATATATATATATATATGTACAGCACTCAAAAAATATTCTATTTAAATATTTCATGTCTAAAATTTATTATTTTCTTACATAATACTCAATTCTTCAAGTAACAACAAAAATATAATATTCTTCATTTACCCTTTAATTTCACATTGATGCCTTCCCTTCCCTGAGAAGATAGTGTTCTGACTTCCTCAACTCTTCTTCTTTGTTAAGGGGTTCAAGTGCACAAACCATCGGTAGCGTCGATGGCCTCTCCACTGAGATCCTATTGTGAATTCCTCTCTTCTTCGTCATTGAGAATTTTGAAATTGCAAAAGCCAGTGGTCCTGTCAACGGCCTTCCCAATGAGATCATGTCGCAAATTCTTCTCCGCGTACGACTATGTCACATCGATACTCTTCATGTCAACATCCTCTAGCAACCTCCTTACTCCCTTCTTTCGCATGCATAAGAGAATGATAGATTGAATAAATAATACATTTTGAATATTAAATATTAAAAAGAATAAAAAAGGGATACAAAGAAAAAGGTGATAAGATCGATAAGGTAAACACAAAGAAAACTATTCTACCTCTCTCGCAAACTTGCTAATTTTTTCTTTTCTTATGGTAAGAAATTGTGTTGTCAGGAGGTTAACACAAATAAATAAAATTAATATATTTACTTAAAAATAAGATTATATTTTTATTATGATAATCTTGCAATTATTATATAAAAAACAGAGATTTTCTAGTAAATTTTCTTCAATATTTCTAATTTGACGCCCTCACATAAAAACACATCAGTAATTATTGATGATGCAACTTTCTCACTACCTTTTTTTACTTCTTGCATTAAAGTAATGATGTAATAACAAAAATAACAAAATGAAGTTAGAATATTATTTGCATTATTATAATAACAAAAATTAATAGGATCATTGGAAGAAATAAAAAGTATTGTAGTCCAAATAAATATTAGAACTAAGTTCCAAAAATGTGAGTTTATGTAAAACAAATAAGCTAGGTCCAAACGACCAATCACATGGAATATACAACCGGAGTACCAAAGGTCTACGTGATTGATTATACAGACATAAACCATACGTAAAAATTCATACATAATAATTTTTCCTCAAACAACAATAAAAGAATGGTAACAAACATTGAAAATAGTCTTAAACTTCAAAAAAAAAAGGACTGATCATCAAAGTTGGCTTTTTGTTATCCTATTGTGAACATTTTAGTCTATTGGAAATCTATTCGTACTCTCTTTTAGATGTAAATTTTGGGACTATCGTCTCATTGCACTCAACTTTGATCTCCCTTCGGATTAACTTCTATAATAAATGGCATTTGATCTGAAGGTTCTACTTGGATTGATTAATTTATGCAATTCGTGGATCGTGTGGGTCTTAACATATTCTCATATGTTTAAACAAAGTTTAAAAGTGGGTAACTTACATGATAATGATTGAGTGGGCTCTTGATATATGATACTTTGATATTAAAACTATTTTATTTAAAGGAGAATGATAACCAAATTAAAGAATTAGTACATGAGGGAAGATTGATAAAATACATGAGAGTACTGAATTTAACCTCATCACAGATAATTAAAAAATTCGTTGATATAGAAATACCAACTGATTGATGTTGACCTCTATTTTCGCTCGACTTGATTAGACCTCGTCGAGCCTAATTCGATCTCGAATCGATCCGAATTGATGTTAATTTGACTCGACCCTATTCAATCGAGCCAATTTGAGCCAAATTCATATTCAAGCCCAACTCAAATCAGCCCAAATCAGTTCTAAAAAAAAAGATTCCAAACACTTTTTTTTTAGTGAATTTGAATGTGATTGCAAAATCAGGAAATATAATTAACGATCCCGATCCGATCGAATTCTAAAAAAAAAAAAAAAAAAAAAAACCTGTCTTCGTCCTCGAGTTCAGTCGCGTGAGTCCTAAAGAGGCGGTCGATTCGAACAACTTTCGGGATAGACAGGGTTTAGAAGCCCTCTTTCCATGTTTAGCAAGAGCAGAATGTCGGAGAGACGTTGGAGAGGGCAGAGGCCTGCTCGAACAAAGGGATAAACGGTCTCTGGTCACGGGGCGGGCAGAGACCTCGTTCCTCTCCTTTGGTTTTCTCCATTCCACCGGCTCCAGGCACCGGTTTCCCCCTGGCTCCCGATTCCTCCCTATTGGGACATCTAGGCGAGATCCCTTCTCCCTCTCTCTCTCTCGCATGAGCCAGAGGAGACTGAACCTAGCAAGGCCGACGCCTCACTCCCGTCCGAAGCCAGTCCGAAAATCCCAGAAGAAATCCGACTGAGATCCCTCTCCCTTCTCTCTCGGGTTCACGAGCTCCAGATGAGGCCGAGCTCCTCATCTTCTTCCTGTTCTCCCGTGTAGAAGATCCCGACCGACCCCCCTCTGTCCTTCGTCGCTGCTGTTCGCACGGACGGGACCCGACGCCGCCCTAGCCGACATCGTCGCTGGACTAGCCCGTCTCTCTGGCCCCAACCAACGCTTCTTCATTATTCAATATTAGGGTAGGTAACCTCTTCCATTTCTCCTCTCCCTCTCATTTTCTCTCAGATTTTTTTTTCTCTTCTTCTCCTTGGTCTATTTATTTCATCTTATTCTTCTCCTTCTCTTGATCTTCTTTCTCCATCACTTTCTTCTTCATGATGTTTCACACTATCATGTTTCTCTCATCTTGAGATTTGTCTATTTCGATATGAGCTTGAGAAGAACAAAATCAGTACCTCAAATAGAGGTGAATATGCATGTTAATCCACAAGCTATGCTTAGCGATTAGTGTTTCATCCCTTAAGTTTATGATTTGCTTAAGTGACTGAGTTATGAAATTAGGCAAGTTTCCTTATCAAACGCTCTTGCAAAGGTATAGTACTATTCTACTATATTGGCACGATCAGTAGAAAGCTTCATTTCTTTTTCTATGTGAAATTTTGTTGCTCCTAGTGGGAGCTTTCTCATCTTAAGTTTTCTCTGATTGCATGTATTTGGTCATAAAAATTTTCTGGAATCATGTGTTCTTGATTCAAAGTATTTGGGATGCTGTGGATTATAGCATTTCTCCTTTTCTTCTTGCTTTGTTTTCCTTGGAAGAAAATATCTATTCAATAGAATTTGCTTCTTGGAGAAAATTATTTGAAGGATGATTGATTTATATGCTTGATTATTTTATAATAGTTTAGTTATAGCATTTTCAGATTTGTATGAGTTAGAAGCTTGATTCTCATATCAGTTTTCTTTATATAATTTTACAAGTATATCGCACACAAGATGTTTGGTGAAATGTCCTTGGAAGAGAATCGTGATGTATTCTTGTCTTTAAAAAAAAAAAGAAGAAGAAGAAAGTCTCTTGCGGATATGTGATTTGTTGCCGAATTTGTTTAGGGAGGCATGCTCGTGTTTGGGTATCATCATTCAATTTGATTTTTGCATATCTAGTTTCCACTAAGGCCAAATGAGGCCATTCTCTTTGGCAAGCAGTTACTTTTTTTTTAAATTACATTACATGGTATATGTCAGTGATGATCTTTGAAGCATCATATTATGGTGAAATTAATCGGTGGTTGTGGTTTTGTTATCCCTGAAGCAAGCAAATCATGTATTAAGAGATGCATAATGAAATACTAAGCATCTGATATTTTGTTTGGCATGGATATTTATTTAAATACTTCGCTTTGCTTTCTAAATAGAATCTTCAAGGGACATTTTAACATTGATGGTTTAAAAAAAAAAGAGTGGTTTGGAAGCATTGTTGGCTATAAAATTTTAGCATAATATGAAAACAAATTTATAACCCTGAGTTAAGTGATTTCTTAAATACTTGGTGGCATACAATGTGGAGGTTGGAAGTTTGTTAGAAAGGTTTATATGTTTGTGTCATCCAACTCACAGCTTACCTTGAGAAATGATTTCCTTCGTTGCTCTCTTGGAAGCTTGAAATGGTCAAGATTTGTTTTGCTTCATTTAATATTGAATTTCCTTACTGGGTTTATTTTCTTTCAAGAAAAAAAATGGCATTGCTCTTTATTTGTGAGCAAGTATTGTTTCCTTATAAATATTTGAGTACAAAATCTGAGAATCTTCTTTAAGAGCAAGAGTGAGGGTTTTTGAATGTTGCTTTTGACAATGTTAAGTGCTGGAATTTTCTTGTGATATGCTACGTAGTGCTGGAATGTACCTGTATATTGTTATAAAATGCTGAAATATTTCATCATTAGGTTGCATATGCTTTTGTACTTGGGTTGCGTGCAGATTTTGATGTACTTTTGTATTCCAAACTCTTTTGGGAAAGAGTCATGTGCAGATTTCTCATCGTTTTGTGCTCCAAACTGTTTTGGAGAAGGGTTAGATGCAGATTTTCCCTGTTTCTATGCCTCAATCTTCTTTTGGAATCAATTGGATACAGATTTTCACTCGTTTATGGCTTCAAACCTTTTCTTTAGCGGCGTGTAGTATGTAAGCGGAAAAGTTGGTTGGAAATAAGACATGAGTTTCATAGTTGTGTATCTTATATCATGAGGAGCATGCTTAGTTACAAGGTTGACGGACAACGAGATATCTCTATATGCTTGTTCAAAACATGTTTCTTCTTCACTTATTTGGTCTATGGCTGTAAGGAGTGGTAACTACACATCTCTTTACTTATGCATAAAGTTTGGATAATAGTTGATGAATGTGACCCTTTTCTTACTCAACACCAAACAAACACTTACTTGAGCTCCTTCCATGAGTTGATTGTGAAGGGAATTTTCATATGCATGTATTTTCTTTCACTGTCAGTTTGCTAGTGGCTAAGGAAAGAGAGTAGTAATCCACGTAATTTAGTGTTTGGGATTTTAGAATACATTCACTAGATCATTTCCTTAAAATTTGCAAATAACTAGCATTTTTTTTTTTAATGAGGTATGTTAGCTATGTATTGCTTCTCAGAATGGATATTCTTGTTCATATGTTACTTTCAAATGGCCAAAGAGATTCCTTCCTACATGACCAATACTTTCTCTGTCTCTCGATTATTTTCTTGGAAGAATTGGAGTCGCATTTACTTTTCTTTTGTAATTGACATAAAACTATTCTTATTTCTGTTTCCTTCCAATGACATGAGATTGACTTTGAACGTTTGGCAAAGTGTTGCATATTTGACGTGTTAACAAGTTTATGAATTTGAGTTAAGATTTGCTTGAAAGTTTTGATGGCATATAGTGTGGGAATTAGAAACTTGTTGGAAAGCAGTTGCATATCATGCCTTGAATCTACATTGAAAAGTCTTATTTTACTTATGTTGAGATGATTTATTGGTAGCTTTAAATTTGTTTTGTTTTAAAAGATTTTATGCGACGAGTTTCATGGAGGCTTTACAACGAGAAGTTTTATACAACTTTTTTGTTGGAAAGCTTTATGATTCCTTACCCCACTCCAAATGAAAGGAGACACTTGATTATTAGTCGTTTTGGGTAGAATTTTTGTGTCAAAAAGAGGGGATTTTGGTAGAGCTTTTTGGGTCAAAAACAAAATGAAAGAAAAGATTTTTGGTAGATGAGTTTTATAGGTTTGTTGTGTGGCATTTAAGTTGGAAATTCTTACAAATTGCGGTAGGGTTAATTAGACTTGTGTAGTGAGTCTCCCTTAGTTTCTTTTAGAAGCAATTAGTGCTTTCTTATTCAAATTAAATTTTCTAAGTGTTTATTTCTAAGGAAGAATTTTGGGATTTAAACTTTAGGTGGCTTTGTGCTAGAGGTCCTTTAGTATCTTTTTTTTAGTTTTGGTTTATAAGTTAAATATGGAATTTTCAAATAGGTATAAGATAAAGAGAGTCTAGATTTTGGGAATTGGGTTTTAGAGGTTAGTTTCCCCTTAGTTGTTGTAGGTCTTATTAGAGCGTGTTGTGGGTAAGTGTGTCAAAAATATCAAGTGCCTCATTTGGAGTGGGAACAGCAAAGGGCATTGTTGGTATAATAGGATGCACTTGACTTCTACGAAGTGTGTCCAATAACGACAATGCCTACACCCCTTTTTGTATTTGATTTTTCGTTAGTTTTCTCCGCTGTTTTCTTTTATGTTTTCGGGGCTGTACGCTTGCAAAATGAGGACCCAAAACACTAACGACTCAACCAAATAATAAAGGTATGTTCTCATCTTTTTCTTACTGCACTTTCATTTCCTTACATAATCATTCGCTTATAGAACTGCTCTAATACACCCTTCTTTTGTGTTGCGAGGTACCTTTTGGAGAGCAATGGACAAGGAGCACTTGGAGCTGGAGCTAGGACAACCGGACCCAAGCATCAATCGTCCCCACCCATCTGGTAGGGGCGCTACGGGCGGAACCACCGGGTCGTAGCCCCCGGTGCTGTAAGTAAATTGAGCTCAATAAATCGAATTTCATAAACAAATTCAATATTTGCTAAGTTTAAAGCCGAACATTACTCAATAATAATATAATAAAAGCTGAAGAAAGAAATGTTTCCATTGTTATTAGCCTTACTTTTTTTTTTTCCCAACTTCCTTCTACAATGCCTACTTCTAGCCCTCTTGATCCCTTAATATAAATAGCTCTCTTGCTCAGTACCTTCACCAAGGAACAAAGCATCTCAAAGATCAATTCTTTCAAAAATCTAATCCTTCCATGGATCACTTTCATCCCTGACCTCTGAAGGCTCAACAACTTCAGCTTCTGTAGGCTCTGCAAACTCATCCTCAGATGAGCCATCTTCCTTATCATCAGCTTCATCATCATATTCAGCTAACTCGGAATCTGATCGGCCCCACCGACCGCCGAGAGCAATCGCCATCATCTCATAAATTTTGTTTCCCAACTCTGCGGGACTATCAGGCTGAAATATTTGTAGCAGATTGGAAAAAGAAAGGAGCTGTTCAGTTTAAGGATCTTTAAACTCGCTAATGAATTGGAGCAAGTTCATATTCAGCAGGATAGTCAATGAACCAAGCTGAATCACTCCTGTTTAGCTCATTTAGGCTTCGTTTGGGATGACGTTCTTACTGCTTAAAGCGACTTTTTAATATAAAATTAATTTTTATACTAAAAAGATGCTTTAAAAAGCAGAAAAAAAAACCGTCTCAAACGAAGCCTTAACACATCTACAGAAAAGCATCAGTATACTTACAGTGAATCCACTAGAAATCAAAGCTGTATCATATAAAAGATCAACAGCTCTCTTAGCTTCTGAGTTGTTAGGATCATGCTTACAAGCAGCCTGTAAATATATAGGCAAAAAGTGGAATCCAAACAATCACAACGCTGGAAAATTTCTGCTCGAAGATGTCTGTCATGCTAAATGTTGCAGTGAAGAACTTACACTCAAGTCCTTGATGATAGGATGATCAGGATTAATCTCTAATATTCTCCTACCTCTCATGAACTCCAAGCTTGATGTGTCTCCAAGAGTTTGGGCTTTCATGAGCCTATTACATGCAGAAACAAATTAGAATATAAAGCACTCTGTATAACGAAAAATTATTCTGTGCGCAGTCCAGATTCCAATGAAAATGCGTCACGTCCGATACCAAGCTTAATACCAAGCAGTGCCGAGACTCGGTACCACTCGGTATCTGAGCGTTGAGCATAAACCGGACGGTTCTCCCGTCTGATGTCCGCACAGTATAATCTCTCCCGTATAACATACACCATTTCAATTCCAACAAGTTTAAATCAAAATCTTCAATTTTGGGATGACCCAAGCTCGCACAAAACTCATATCATCCTAAGATTAGCGAACCTTAAATGATATTACCTTTCCATATTGGCAGACCATCCAAATTTGCCGGAAACCAGCACACAAGGAGAGGAGCTAAGCCTCTTTGATACTTGAACCTTGGCAACCTTATCACCAAGCTGCTGCTTTAACCAGTCACAAAGGAGATTGTACTCCTGCAAGAATATAAAGCACTCTGTATAAAGAAAAATTATTCTGTGCGCAGTCCAGATTCCAATGAAAATGCGCCACGTCCGATACCAAGCTTAATACCGAGCAGTGCTGAGACTCGGTACCACTCAGTATCTGAGCGTAAACCAGACGGTTCTCCCGTCTGGTGTCCGCACAGTATAATCTCTCCCGTATAACATACACCATTTCAATTCCAACAAGTTTAAATCAAAATCTTCAATTTTGGGATGACCCAAGCTCGCACAAAACTCATATCATCCTAAGATTAGCGAACCTTAAATGATATTACCTTTCCATATTGGCAGACCATCCAAATTTGCCAGAAACCAGCACACAAGGAGAGGAGCTAAGCCTCTTTGATACTTGAACCTTGGCAACCTTATCACCAAGCTGCTGCTTTAACCAGTCACAAAGGAGATTGTACTCCTGCATGTTCTCTCTTTCTTTTACTTCATCTTCATCACCTGTAGTTTTCCATAAAAGGGTAAGAGAAATAAATGAATAATTAAAAAATTCATATGCATTAAAAAAAATAAAAGTAAAGTGGTTCAATTACAAATAAACTCACCCAATTCAAGATCTTCCTTACTGATATCCACAAATTTCTTCTCTTTATAAGTTTGCAGGTTCTGAATAGCAACCTCATCAATTGGTTCAACCAGATATACTACCTGAAAGAGAAAAATAATAAGAATAATAATGTTTATAACATAAAATCTTAAAGAGAAGATCAGTTGCTAACCTCTATATCCTTTTGGACCAGTTTCTCCAAGAATGGGGCACTTTTAGCACTCTTAAGGCTATCTGATGCCAGGTAATAGATAGCTTTCTGGTTCTCAGCCATGTTTTCAACATATTGATCTAAGCTTATTAAATCCTCTTCACTCTTGGAAGAATAGAAGCGCAGAAGAGGACCGAGTCTCTTGTGGTTTCCAGAATCTTCAATGCAACCTAACTTAATAAGCTTGCCAAAGTTTTCCCAGAACTTTTTATAATCCTGAATAATTTTGATTAAAATTCGTTAGAATAAGTTGTAGGATGCACTGAGTTGAATTTTCAGCAAGCAGTTCTACCTCTTTGTTTTCACTTTCAGATATTTCCTGAATCATATCAAACGTTTTCCGAACAAGCCTCTTTCGCATGATTCTTACCTGCATCATTGTGGTAAAAGAGTAAAAATGAAGACCATGCATGCATATAGCACATAAAAACTTGATTTGTATATATTTACATATAAGAACCTAACTACAGAGGAGAGATTTATAAGAAAATAATCAAGTACATGATGCAACTGAACCAAGCCAAGCTAGATTTGGCTCGACACGATGAGCTAACCAAATAAGTTTGATCCTCAACTCACAAGCCAGCTAATTTAAAAACACATTAAAAATTATCATAATTCAAGATTAAAAATGCAAAATTTTGTAAGAAAACCAGAAAGGTCTAGTTGCTCTCTCTCTCTCTCTCTCTCTCTCTCTCTCTCTCTCTCTCTCTCTCCCTCCCCCTCCTAATTTATCATTTCCTCCAACATCTCATTCTTTCCAGGGTTTCATTATCACAAGTAAAATTTGCTTCTATATTTTCTCTATCGCAAGTGGATGAGCTGGCTTGGGCTTATTGAATTAAGCTCAAATTCATTTAATTATTTTAGTTCAAGCTTAAGCCAGGTGCTGTCAAGCTCAACTAGACTAGCTTATACTCCCTCTCTTCTACTGAATATTGAACGCACATAAGGACTTACAATTCTACTTTCTTGAAGGATCTCACGAGAAACATTGAGTGGAAGGTCATTGGAATCTACAACACCCTTCACAAAGCTTAGATATCGTGGGAACTGCAAAGAAAATCAAAAGATACACCACAAGCAGATCAAAATTAGTCAAAAACATAAAAAATGAATTAAACAAACATAATATTATGATCTTCCTCATATTCCAGTATGACTCACCAGCTCACCATCAAAATCATCAGAGATGAACACTCGTTTCACATACAAGCGGATATTCTTCGACTTGGGATTTACTATATCCTCATTGTTAAGAGGCGCCATTCCAGGAACATAAAGAATGCTTCTAAATTCCACCTCTCCCTGTTAATTACATATTATATTAATGCTAAAATACAAATAGCCATAAACAGTCCAACACTTTGATCTTGTATTCTACTATCTATCAAAGCTACCAACCTCTGTTGTGAAGTGAGTATGAGCTAGTGGATCCAAAAACTCATTAAATGTCTTCTTATAGAACTCATTATATTCCTCTTTCTCAACTTCCTTGGGATTTCGCATCTGCTTGTGCAAAGAAGACGGCAAAATTAGTAGTGCCTCATACATAGTGCATGTGACATGGTAATAGTGTATTTGGATGTTACAAATAAAGGGCAGTAAAATATTTACTATTAAGGATAAGTAAAAGAGAGCCTGATTTTAGGTACACCAATAATCAAATTTATTTAAAACCAAAAACTTGAATTCAAGAATGCCGACTACTTAATAATTTTACACCGGCATATTTTTCATAAATCTATTATGACGGATTAAGCTCAATACTCTCAAATGTTATAAAATATGTAATCTACAACATGCTTCATATGTTCAAATAAGTTCAAATAATAGCTGCCTAAAGCTTACCCAGATGGGCTTAGTCTCATTTGCCAATTCCCAATCCCAGTATTTTTCAGTTACAGATTTCTTCTTCTTTTCACCCTGATGTTTAGAAAAGCAAAAAATTAACTTCAATATAACTTTGGTAAACGAAATATTAAGACTCCAACTTTGAACAAAGAAAGTACCTCTGGTTTAGCCTCCTCACCCTCCTTTTTTTCCTCTTCCTCCTCCACCTAATCAGAAAAGAAAAGGGGAATAAAGAAAAAAAAAACAAATAAGAACATATGCACAAAAAATAGTCCCTTAAGTTGGCTCAAAGATCATGTTGAAATATATACAAATAAATGTATAATGTATATGCATACATATTTATGTTTGTATTTAAATTTAAAAGAATATCCACATGCATTTGTGCATTATAGAGACTGAAAGACTAGAATCTGATCAATTTTTAGTCAAATCAAGCTTAAATTGAACTTTACAGAGCCATTCTTGACTCGAATTTAGATGGGATCAAACAAAACTATAAAAAAAAAAATGAGCTCGACTAGAGGACTTCGAACCAATCTTAACTAGGGGTTGGACCGAGATTGAATTGCTAGCAAGCAATCCACTGCATTCAACAAGCAGTACTAGCATAAATTATATATTCAAAATTATACTCACCTCTACAGTCCTCGATTTCTCTTGCCATGTGTAGATGGGAAAGGCTACAAACTGAGAATAGTTCTTTACCAAGTTCTGGATCCTTGAGGGATCAGCAAATTCAAACTTGTCATCTTCCTATCAAGGCCAATAAATTTCAAGATGGTTTGTAGGATTAGAACAACAAAGTAATATAATCATCTTAGACTTAGACTTATAAACATTTATAAAACAAAGATCAAGACTTATCATACCCTTAAATAAAGTGTGATCTGAGTTCCACGACGCAGTAAATTTTCAGAATCAGTTTCTTCCTTAATCACATATGAGCTACTGTCAGCTACTGCTTCCCACACATATTGCTTATCGGATTTCGGACTCTTGGTCGACACAACAACCTATTTGAAGGTTTTAAATAAATTCTGAACAATTGCTAAAGAAAATTTAGTCAAGCAACCAAAATGTAAAGTTCCCAGTACCTTTTCTGCAACAAGGAAAGCAGAATAGAAACCAACACCAAATTGACCAATCAAACCATTATCTGCTCCGAGATCCTTATTATCCTATGGAACAATTAATACTTGTCAATGCATGCAAAATGTAAAAAAAAAAAAAAACAAAATATAAGCACAAACCAGAATTAACAAGAAAGTTAGAATTACAAAAACCTTCAATGCTTTCAAGAATTTGGAAGTTCCACTCTGAGCAATAGTTCCAAGGCAGTCAATCAGCTCCTCCTTCGTCATTCCAATACCAGTATCTCTGCAGGACAAAAATAATAATTAAAATAGTTTGCAAGTTTGCATTGCAAATAAAATGAATTAATAGATAATTGGATAGTTACGTGATCGTTATAGTCCCGTTATCCGGATCAGGCTTGATTCGAATTTCCAATTCGGAGCCGTCGGCAAGCAGAGAAGGATCAGTCACACTGAGAAATCTTAACTTGTCCAAAGCATCACTTGCGTTACTGAAACAGACAAAGCATTGATAAAGGAAATTTGTGAATGTTTTTTTAAGGCAGCCTAAGCCTAATAGTCCAATAATTAAAAAAGATGCTAACGCTATTTATTAAAACAGTAAAAATGAAAGTGCATCAACTACACATAACTTAAAGCTCAAGATTATCTTTTAGAAGTGTATAATATATTTCAAGTTAGATAGTAATTTTATTTTATATGCATTTAACTGATAAAACTATCTGAAAATTCTTTCTCTTAAATATTATGCTTTCCTAATATGTAAATGTATGTGAAGAAAATGTTTAAATAAATTACATCATGGAATTTATATGTATAAGATGAAAGCAGAAATTATGTCTTAAAAGTGTAGTAGATGAGATAAAGATATGCATGATGTAACAAATATCATCAAAAAATAATTATGAAGTAACCAAAAAGTTTCCAAACACTATTGACTATGTTTTCAAACAAATATGAAACTTTTCAATAATGATTGCAGAGATGGGATATTAATAGTGCGACTCGATGTTTATAAATAATATAGTTTAAATTGGTGAGACCTTTTGCGAAGTAAAGAAGCTCAAACAAAATAAATTTCTAGAACAAAATATTTAAAATTAAAAGAACAAAAAAAAGTAGTGCATAATAGAAACTCTTATTGGATTTAAAATTGATTTTTTTTCATTCAATCCTATCAATTAGGTCAATAAAATTGATAATTTCCATTCACAACTTATGTTTAGATATGTTAGCTCAATTGCATCTCATCTGTTATACAAAGGAATGAGAATGTTCATGGGGACAATTCAGGACTAATTGGTGCTTAAAACATAGAAGCATTATTGTTGAAGTATGTCATAAGATAATGTTATGTAGACCAAAAAATGCTGTAAGAAATGATAAAAGGCTTGCATAAATTCTGGTTAGCAAGTCATGAAGCACTGAACATAAATAAATAAATGTAGGGTTCATATAACTGGCTGCAAAGATAAGGATATGCCCATCAATGATGATGATAATGAAATGATAGAATGAAGAAAAACACCTAGTGTTTGGCCTAGCTGTCCGCCATCAGTGAAAAAAAGGTTTAGTAACTGGAAAGTCAATCGAACCAAAAGGATAATAGAGCCCAGCATGAAAAACAAATGAGAAAATATGATGTGTGGTGAAGCTATTACTTGTAGAGAGAGGAATCAATTGATCGATGGAAGAAAAAAAAAACTTAGATAGTTTTAGCATATATAACGGAAAGAAAAAGATATATCACTAAGACAGGTAGACAGAATTAATGCTAAAGGTAAATATCAAAGGCAGCATAGTAGATGTTCAGCAAAAAGATAGAGATAAACTAGAGTTAACACCTGATGTAACTAACAAATCAATAAGAATGATTGAATAAGTCAAAATACAACCCTAACTATTGGGATAAAAGGTTACAAATATGATAATGACATTGATTATCCTCATCATGATGAGTTAACTCCATTTCACATAGTAAAAAAGAGAAAAAAAAAATGCTAGTAATTATGTTAAAGCATTTTAACTTCCACTATACGCTGGCAAAAAGGGCATTTGATTTTAATTAAGATTTCGTTTGAGACTGCTTTATTACTGCTTCTTAAAGCAGCTTTTTATATTTTTTACTAAAAAGCTGCTTTAAGAAGCAGTAAGAAAGCCGCACCAAATGAAGCGCAAGTCTGGTGGAAAAAAGCAGCAAAGCAGAAAGAAAGAAAATGTTGTTGAAATCAAATTTTCTTAAAAACAAAGTTCATTATAATCACAATGGCGCTAAACCTAAAAAATTTAGCAGTCATGTTAACAACCATTTTCATCTAGTCTAACGTACCAAAAACCAACATGAAATTGCATACGCACTAAAATCATTTCATGGCATTAAAAAGCATACAAGAACACTCATTCAAATCAAGCAAGAACACTAAAAGCTTATAGAAGTATGAATCTTCCATTCAGATATCCCACGCCAAAACTATATCAATTATATTTTTGTACTAAAAAGCTACTTTAAGAAGCAGTAAGAAAGCCACCCCAAACGAAGCCCAAGTCTGGTGACAAAAAGCAGCAAAGCAGAAAGAAAGAAAATGCGGTTGAAATAAATTTTTCTTAAAAACAAAGTTCATTATAATCTCAATGGCGCTAAACCTAAAAAATTTAGCAGTCATGTTAACTACCATTTTCATCTAGTCTAACGTACCAAAAAGCAACATGAAATTGCATATGCACTAAAATCATTTCATGACATAAAAAAGCATACAAGAACACTCATTCAAATCAAACAAGAACACTAAAAGCTTACACAATTATGACTCTTCCGTTCAGATATCCCACACCTAAACTATATCAATTATCAACTAGTAATGTAAGAAAATACATTTGAAGATCGTTTTAACTAGTTCTCTAAATAAAATGAAGAATAGAATAACATGATATCACGTATTTTATATATATAAATATAGTATAATACGTGAAAAGAATGGAAAATCAATAAAATATGAGAAAAGTGCCAATCATGGCACAGTTTATATGCAAGTGAGGATGACTTACCTTACAAGCTCTCGAAGAAACACTTCTTTATGGCTGTATAAGCTATGAACAATTAAGTCAAGTAAGCGGCTAACCTGCAATGAGTCCAAAGAAAAATAAGCAATCTATGGTGAAGAGGTGAAAAAAGCTGAACTGTTAATCATATCAGTCCAAAACAAGAGCACTATTAAAATCATTTCAAATGAAAAACATCAAAATTAGCAATAACCAAAGCATAGGAGATGTTGATGCAATTGATGGCAACAAGTAACAGTAATTAGTAAGCAAGTTACATGCAAGTTCCAAACAAGAAATGCTCTTACAGGATTTGTAAATTATGAAAATTAAGGAAATAGTTAAGGAAACAAATTATAGTCATGTTGAGACATCTAAAAGTCGCTTAAGGGTTTCCCCGCAGACTACCATTTCTTGACACGCAAGCATGTCATTTCATTATCAAGAATCAAGAAAATATGGTAAAGACAAATGAATTGAAGTTAACTCTACTCAATTAAACAAGATAGATGCATCAAATTAAGGAATTACTAAATTACTAATATGTTATCGCCAAAATAAAAGATGATTTTGAACTTTTGGTGAGGTAAACACTGAAGAAACTAAAGGGGTGTTTGGCCATCTGCATCTGTATGGTATTGAATTCCATTTCCCTATATTTCAATTGTTTTAGTGTTTGGCATGAAGCAAAAGAAATATAAAATAAATTTTGACATTTGAAATGCCCAAAAACATATATTTTCCTACATTTGGGAATAGACCAAATTGGTGATTTCCAAATCATGAGTTGCATCCCACCCGCCTGGCTGCCCGCCACTGCCAACACTTTAGGCTTTTCATTGCCTCTGCTTGCTTGCCTCTCATCGCCACCATCTGCACCCTATCTACCCACATCCATCGCCACCTGCACCCGCCCTCCTAGCATTGCAATTGATTTGAAAGGAATCATAACAAACACAATATTTCAATGCATTTGATTTGCATAAAACCAACCAATTCTTAAATTTTTAACATGCACGTATTGCAATTACTCCGAATTTCTAAATATCCAACCAAATAGCCCTAAGGCGAGGCTTAAAATCACTAAACTCGGTTTAACTTGGACTGACAATTGGATCAGCCAAAATCCTGCTCTACTCAAATTAAAATGGCCAAAGAACAACTAGTTGCTCGCCCAAATTGCTTTATATTTGAAACCAAACAGCACATCTGTAACCAAATAAACAAAAGCTTCCAATACCAATCCCCACGATGCAGCAATCAGCTTGCCTAAAAAACGACCATCAAAGTGCGAAACAACAATATTGCATTTATAAACGAACTGCAGACCAACACTCATAACAACAACAAATAAATAAGTAAAAGTAACCAGAAAAAACAACTATCGGTAGATGGACGGATATGAAAGAACAGCTCAAAACTTTTTCCTAAGTAGAGAAAAAAAACTTAACTTGCGAACAGATAAAAACATAAAAAGAAAAGGGTGACCACAATATAAAACTAAAGCCAACCTATATCCTCAAAATTTTCACAAACAAAATCGAAGAACAAAAACAACACCTCAGCCTGGTACTCGTACTTTTCCCCGTCAACCACCTCAGGTTTCTCCTTCTCTGCAACCGCCGCATCACATCGAACAGACAAACTTCCATCTCGCTTCCTCCTAAGATTCCACCTCAATCCGGCGGTCGTAAACCCTTTTCCACTTAGAAGAGATTGAGAAAGAAACGAGCTTTGGAACCCTACGGCTCTGCGGGTACTGAAGTTTGAGGTCAAAGGTGGGAATTTAAGAGCTTCCGCAGCTCCAAGAGTTCTGCTCGCAACTGGCGCCATGAAAAAAATCTAGCTTGTTGTACTGTTGGGTTTTGGATAAGAGTTTGGGAGACGCAGACCCTATGGCGGTAGGGAAGGGTTTAAGGAGAAGAAGATGAGGGAAGAGAAGCCCAAGGACCCGAGGTTTATGTTTTCATTGAAGTCCCTAGACATTTTGATATTATGATTTTACACTTAACAAATTGCATAAACTGCAAACCTAACTGAAATTGACCTTTTTCTCCAATGTCTATGGGTTGTCTCGGTAGATTCCACCTATAGATAGCCTTGTTCCCAAAAAAAAAACCTTTTTACAATTAGATTTTATGTTTGTTTAATGGGATATATTCAGAATATATATTTATTACAGTATAGAATAAAATAAATATTGTGTAATTTAATTATTCAAAATTATAAAATATTATATATCATGCAACAAAATTAGTTGTCGTTTATTGCCCCTATCAAGGTCTAGTTATCAATCTCCTCTACTAAGGTCCTATGATTGGGATTAGTTTGTAAAGACTTATCATATTTGCCTTAATATTCATATCACGTGACCTAAACTAGTGCTTTTGTGAAGTCACGACCAGCCCTACATTGCCTTAGTAGTCATTGTTGTTGACCAAAGACGCTAGCTTATCATCCTACTTACCTCAATTGTGTGTATACTTGATCATCGAGAAAATCTCGTAGCATGTTATATCACAATCCAAACCAATATTATACACAGATAAAACATGTCATATCACGTTGTATGGTGATTGATTAGCCTAAGATCTAGTTTTGAAAAAGTTTGCATATTTCTTTCAAATATTAACAGACTATAGAGCTACTAATTAACTTTCAAATAACATCAAATAAACTCATCAACATACTTTCTTTTTTATTTCATTTATCTTCAAAATATATATACAACAAAATCTACATACTACAGTACATAGGTACATAATTGAAATAAAACATAGCATATTATAGTCATGACTATACAAAATCAAAAACCAAAAAAATTGTCAAAACAAACTCAGAAGATTAAGATCCTGGACCTCCAATTACTCAACTAACTCCTTACCCTTTCTATGACGTGAAACAAAATGCATAATAGGTATGAGCAAACACAGCTCAGTTGGTCACACCTACTGATATAGACTTTAAATCTTTAACTCATTATACACACTTAATTAAAGGAAACTATGAACATTCTATTATACTGAACAAAGTAGTGCTAGCAAATAACATAAATTAAATAGACTTTACAATAAATGTAAATAAATAAATACCACATATATCAGAGAAAAAATATAATAGATTTCTCTAAACCCTTATGTCTTCCATCAAGAAAAATATTATAATTCAGACCCTTATGACTCTTTGTGCTAGTATATCAGAAAATATGTTATTGTTAAGTGAAAATTATGTAGTATTTTATTATCTTAAATTTTAGTAAAAATATTTATTTTTTGTTGATGTTGTGCAGGAAAAACTCAAGAAATTTTAAAACAAATCACAACTGTTGAACCAGCACTGCAGCATCCAAACCATCAACTCTGAAGCGTATGTAACACCCTGATGCCAGATCAGGACATTGCGACACCATAGCCTCAAGAAAAATGATAATTAATTCAATGCCTTGATGAAGCCAAGGCCAGCTTTGCAACACTACATAATGTGAAGCTAGATAGTAATGTTAATTTAGTTCTATTTCTAACTATATATGTTGAGAATATTATATATGTTATTTTGGACTTTTAATTTTTGAATCAGGATGTAAATATTGATATTAGTAATGCAATTATATTTTTTTCTATTAATTATTTATTTTCTTCAATACAATTAATTATCTATAGCTGTCAAATTAATATGATTGTAAATGGATAAATATTGGTTGTTAATGAAAGGAAAAAAGAGAAAGAGAATAAAAATGAAATTCTTTCACTTTAGATCTTAAGGTGAGATATAAAGATACTTGCATAGCACCTTATATCATTTAGAAGATACTAAGACACCTACTTGGCCTTATGATCCTTAGATGGCACAAGGACCCATTTTAATATCCTATAATTTATTTTGCCCATGATTAACATAAAGTCATCATAGGATAAATTTAGGACCAATTTGGGCTTAAATGGCTTTGACAAATTTATACTTAGGTAGCTAACCCCTAAGTAGGTGGACCCATTTAGCCATGTCCCAACTAGATTATTGATTCAATATGACCAAATTAAAAGTTAGGCTAGCTTAACATAATTAAAATGTCCTTCAAAATTAGATTGACCTAGGATAAGGAATCTTCTACTCTATCTTGGACTCATGACATATATATATGATTATGAGCCATATGTGGCCTCCCTTATATGATTTCAAGCCATTAATAAACCCAAAATTTTAAATATCTTTGACCCAACTGAGGTATGAATTACTAAATAACCCAATTGGCTTAATTGGTCCATAGATAGACTCGAATGGACTTAGTATCAATCCCTTCAACTTTTGATTAACCCATGGGCCTAGCTAGATTTTCCTAATACTATATTAGCTCTATACTAACAATACATAACACAAGCCCAACTTAATATGTCATATTATGGTATGAAGTTTTGGCACGATCAAATTGACCTCATATGGAACTATGCCCAACATGAATTAGCCTATTTGAGTTTGAATTAACTTAGCTAGGGTAGACTAGATCTAACATAGATATATGCTAACCCATTTTAACTCAGTTTAACCTAGTGTGTCCAATTTGATCAAAGTAGTTTGACTTATGTGAATTGGTTTATTGCCCCATCATAACACCTATAGGAGGACTAAAGACCTATTGGACTATACTCTAGGTTCATTTGACCTAGAATAGACTTTAGTTAGCCCAAGATATCCCCATTGATCCAAAGTGGCCCAATTTTGTTAGACATAACTCAATTTAATCAAATTATGCTTGAACTCTCGGCCCATCTGATTCTAAATGTCCCTAAAGGATCAACAAATCCACTACTTTAACCTAGGATATGATTAATTGAACTTAAACCTAACTTGATCCATTAACCAAATTGTTCAAATGGGGCTTGATTTAGGCAACATTAAGCTCATTTAGCTCACCCCAAGATTACCCTTGACCTAACATAGACCCAATGTGGTTGGCCTAGTTTAAACTAATGTTGATTCAATCGATTAGCTTGATTGGGATAAACCTAATTAAGTTTTTAAGTTAAGAGTATCCTTGAATGTACTCTTAGAGGGTGATTTATTATCTAATTAAATTTTGTCACACTATTTTCCTTTCTCTTAAGCTTAAGTTCAATATTTTGTAGTCCTCCTCATGACCAATGCTAAAAAGTAAACCCCAAGGGATAGTCTCAACTAGCATTGATACTCATGGAGATCCTTTTGAGTCTTACACTCAATTACACTCCTCTAATCTTTATAAGTCGAACATTTAATCATGTTGAGTTCAAAAGCTTGAAATACTCTCCCTCAAGCATTCCAAAAGCTCCCTTAAACCTTGTTAAGCAATATTAGTGTCAAATAAGTTGAAATGAAGGTTAAGTTGGTGCATGTGATCCACTACACACCAAACCAAACCTAGGAATTCCTCATCTTCTTTGTGCTCGAAAACTTTAATCTAAAATTCCTCAACTTTTGATTGATATAACTCATGTAGCCATTTCAAAACGCATACTTTGAAGCCTCATTGAGGATATGGTTAGGAGAGTTATGCAAAGAAAATCAAAGAGAGATTTCACTTGTGTCACATTCTTCTCTAATCAGGGAATATCAATGAACCATCTCGTAAGCTAATTAGAACACCAACTCAAGTAATGACTTATCCTCCTTAACTTGACTTTGTGTAGGATTATCATGAAGACACACACCATACGCTATAAATGCACCCTTTGCAACATCAAAAAATATAAAAAGTATTTTAAAATATAAAATTGAATTCTATTTGAACTGGAGTGCTGTGGTGCTGAGTATGTTAACATTAGTAGTACTATGCTTGAGAGTGCATCAACACCAGAAATTGCCACCACAGTATTTGAAGCTCTGTTCTATAATTTTTCTGAATTCAATAGGCATCATTGCGATGTTAAGCGACTAATAATATTTTTATATATATTAAATTCAAAACCCTAAGCACTAAAGCACCTCAGCCGTCCCTTTCTCTCTCATTTGGCTTGCTTGCTTGTGAAGGAAAGGGAGAAGAGGAGGAAAATGAGAGGAGAGACGAAAGAGAAAGGGGACCTTCAGGACTTTCATCTCCATCATTTATATTATGAAAGTTACTCTACTCCTAACAAATAACATTTACTCTGCATCTATTTTCAATGAATCTAAGTTTAATATGTTTCTCTCTCCTCCTAAAAGTGATAAAAAACATATCTCTCATTTTAATAAATTTTTACCGCATAAGATTCATTAGTTGACCGACTTATTTTGAACTCAGTTTGTCTGATTAGCGATATTAATTGAATCTGATCTAAGTAAGTTTGGATGTGCGCATAGTATAAATGCATGTTATTCACATAACAAAACATTTTTATTTTTCTTCTAATTTATTGAATCATTTAAAATATAAATATAAATAAGATTTATTAGTTCCATTGTTATCTGCATTATGCTTTGTCTGTCATTATGAAGTTATAAGGGGTGTTTCTGCAAAAATGTAACATTTCCAGAATGCTCTGCCGAGATACTTCTAGATTGCATTGCATTTATCATTTTTATCGTTTTTATATCTAGAAGTTTCCAAGATAATCGGAGGATTGTAAGGCTTAAATTGAGCCACGTCACCAAAATAATGTCTATTAAATTATTGCCTGAAATGTTTGGTGCGAAATATGAAGAAATTATGCTTTAATCTCATCCGTCCAAAACCCGATCAACGGTCCCTGTACCTGAGATCAGCGACACAAAGCAAATGATTGTTCTAAATTCTAAATTTCTAATAGCATAATTTGGGCCGTAGGGATGATGCCATCGTCTATAAAGAGAATATTTTAGAGACCCTTTGGCTAAAAGTATTTAAAATTTTGGAGAATTTTAAATATTGTGTAAAAATGAATTTATTCTATTTTAAAATATTTCATGATATTTAATTAAGTACAGAATAAATTCATGAAATTAAATTTTTATTTTTGGATTGTTCAGGGGCGGAACCCCATTGTGTCCGGGGGCAATTGCCCCGCCTCAAAAAATTTTTTTTTACTTATTATTAGATTCTTTAGATGATTTGACTCTAAATCTATGTTTTAGTCTTTATATTATTAGATTCTTTGGATGATTTGTCTCTAAATTTATATTTTAGTCTTTATTATAAAGGTTTTAAGACAATTGCCCTCCTAAAAGTTTTAAAATATTATGGTCCTTAGGCAATTGCCCCATGTATGATTAAACAGATTATGTAGAGGTGTTATTATCAGGGAATAATGAACCATATACAAAGAGAAATAGTAAATCAAAATTTGTTCCAGGAGTGCTGCCCCTTGACCCTGCGACCTGAACCCCGCTAGGGGACGCTGCCCCCTTGGATCCCCGATATATCTGTCAACATTTACTTATAAGTTTGCCCCCACTTGAAAATTATAGCTGGTTCCACCCCTGGTTGTACAATAAATTCATATTTTTAAAGCTTTAACACCACCAAGAAGTGGTCAGTGGAAGAGATCAAAATCAATGGATGGTCATTAGTAGTGGTCAACAAAAAAATAACTATTTGACATTTTTTTTTATTTTTTTATGACTCTTTGATATTCAAAAATATGTGGAGGCGTCATTACATAAATAATGATTCAAGGAGAGTATAGACAATAAAGAAGTCCAACATTAGCAGTGTCAAAAAATGATCCAATTTGAACCCGACATAAAAAAATTTGATTTTATTTTGATTCCTTTAATAAATGGGTTGACTTCAAGTTGAAACACAAACCTAACTAAAAAATGACATTTCTAATACTTTTTTTCCTTGGATTCTTTTACTTATAGGTTTGATATTATTTTTTATCAAATATCCTAAGCTCTATAATTGATAAGTTATAAAAAAATTTAACCAAAATGAATTTACAGGTCGAATTCATATCATTCAAGTTATTAATGAATCAAATTCAGATCCATCTTTTTGACATATTTATTAAAAAATATTTCATTTGATTTAAACGAATTCCGATCAAATCATTTTTAAGTCATACTCAAACTCATTTTAACACCCTTACTCAAATTGTCCTTATCCTCATTAAAAACAATTGTTGCATCATGACTTCAACAAGGCTCCCAAGGAGCAATTTTATAAGGATTAAACCTACATCATCTAAAATCTAGTTAGATCACATTAAAATGGGCCGAGCTTGAGTAGGCTTCGGGGTTGCTCGACTCGACTCATTAAGCAAATAAGCCTTTTTTTTAATAATGATTGGCTTGTTAACTCATTGAATCAACACTAGCTATTCAAAAGCATAAATATGCTTCAAAGTTATACATAAATTATATGATAAATATGTTGCTATACATATTCATATAAATTTGAAGGGTAATTTTCTAGAAGGAACAGAATAAGCTAAATATACATATGCCAATGAATTCAGCTCACCTAAAAAATATATAGATGAGCGACAATCAAATCATAAATGAATAAATCCACAGTTGCATGCAAATAACAATAGTAAATTAACAAAAGTGACAAACACAAAAACAAACAGAAACAGCTTTCTAAGAGGACCTTTTCCTCTGTTAACGGTCAAAAATTATTGTTGTATATTTATTGCCCTTGCATCAACACAGGCGCCTCCAAATGGAGAAATTATTCTGTGCGGATGCCAAACGTAGTTTACCATCCGAAGACCAATCAGAATGCGCCACGACAGTAATACCGAGCCAAGTACAAAGCCGCATTATCGAGTAGTACCAAACTGGATACCGAGCAGGATGTGACGTAGGGTCACGTAGCGCATTCTGATTAGTCTCTGAATGACGTTCAGTGTAAGCACAATAATTTCTCCTCAAAATGTGGCAAAATTATACTCATAAAACAGGCATTTCTAGTGCTCTCAGCACATCATTGAACTCAAACTCGTGAGTTTCTTTGTTGAACCTCTCCACAAGCCTGTACTTGACATCATTGAGGTAGAAGGTTTGAGCAGTTTCTAGAAGCCACCTTGCCTCCGAGTCACTGAGCTTGCTCGGAAGCACGACGTCCCCTCGAATGAGAACTATACCTTTGCTTTCTGCAAACTCTGTATAATGGGTGACAGTAAAATAAGGGCTGGCTTGAGTTCCTTTTGCCTTGTAATCCTCAAGCCCGGTGAAGAGCATGTTGGGCATCTGTACTGAGAAAATGAAAACATTGTGGGTAAGTGAGAGGAAATACTTGTAGATCTCAAGTAATTCCTATTAATCTTCGAGAAACAGCAATAATCTTCCACAAAAACAGAAAAACAGTAGATAATTTGTATTATTTGATGAAACATAAACGGAAAATAGCAAAATATTTCAGCCAAATTCAAGACGCCCTAACCCTAGGAAAACAAACTAATGCATACAATTCAAAAGGAACTCATTCAAATTACCTTCCCAAATCCCTCAAAACCTTTCCCAAAACGGCAAAGCGCTCTGTCTGGGCGGTCGGATCGTGTGGGAGGCGGAGAAGTTCTGCCTCTTTGTTTCGTAAGCCGGTCCCATATGGACTGACTAGACCGGTCCGGTGGACCGGTCTAACAGTAAAATATAGGTTATAAGCCTCAAACATATCACGCAAAGAATATAAATATTAGCTTGCGGTGTATCGAGGAAGTCAGTCATGGCAAGAAAAACAAGTTCTGAAAGGACATAAATGTATAGGTTCAAACAGAACAGCAGTCATGTATCAGGCATCTTTGAAGCATGGCAATGAAGGTTAAAGAAGATTAGTTGCACAGACTTTTAGGGGGCAGAAAACATGACCTTCCATAATTTATTGGATTGGTGGAGATTGAGAGTTACTTGAATCATTAACATGCATGACAGACTGAAAAAGACAAAAAGGAAAAAATAATGAGACGCAACAAGAGGAACAAAGTAGAAATTTGATAAGAACCCCATATATTACAAGCATGCATCTCTGTGTGTATATATCTTATCATGTTGAAGCCAATCAACCTATTTTAAAGATGTTTTAAAGATTTAGGTTTCGTTTGGTTATCCAGTACCTTTTGTAAAAACTAGATTTAAAAATATTGGAATATTAAGGAAATGGAGTTTTCTAACGGAGAAGCAAACATCAAAAAGCTTCTCAAAACAGCAAAAAAATGAAGTTCCCTAAAAAGCATTTCTGTAGAAGCGTTCCATCTAAATAGTGACCAAAAAATAATTTCGTCGTTTCTAAACAAAAAAAGGGTAAAAAACACCCTCTCAAACGAGGCCTAAATGATTTTATTATAGAAATTATAAACTCCGCTAGTGTTTGTTTTCAAGCCTCAGACCTTGCTCTACAACTATTTACATCAGTCTAAACTATATGAAAAAGCTTCTCTAAATTCTTCTTTTGACGAGAAAAAAGTGGAGACTGTGAAATAGTTCGGGACTTTGTCTATATTTGCATAACTAGGGACAGAATAAAATTTATTCAGCCTATATCTGATAGATAATTGCGAAACATTGGGATCCTACTATCCCTAAGACAATATTCAACCAACAAAAATTTATTTTGCTGCTATAAGATAAAGAAAATGGGCCTGAAGGATAAGATAGTGAGAATAGTTTATATGATTCATTTACTTTATAAATCAAACACCACTCACCAAAGAATCTAAGGTGAACTTGATATTTTAACCAGTTATTGATGAGTTCACATTGAAGAAAACTTGCTACTTTAACATGTCGTTGAGGAGTTCACATTGAAGAAGAGTTATACCATCAAATATAAAAATTAAAAAGATCCGCGTAATGTTCACAAATTTCACAACACAAAAAACAGTATGAGCAGGAAAAAAACATCATGAAAATAGACACAAAACAAAATTATAAGTTATAAAATCCCATTATAACTTACAAAGCCCAATTTCTTATTTAATAAACTAAATATACTCCTGATAAGAATGCTGTCTTCATTTGAAGGATCCATAATATAAAACAAACACTAGAAACCATAGTGTGGACTGAATCAAAAAGGATCAAGAAAAAGAACCAAAACCGAAGATGCGCTGCTCATTCAATCATGTACACCGAGTTACACTAATCAGATTAAATAATACAATTACAATAATCATGCCTACTCATTATGGCCGTTACTCATCAATTAACAACTAGATGGAGCCTTTTTATATCAACATGATGATACTATCACTCTCATCATCAAAGTATGAATGTAAAAATTACATAAAGCATAAAGTTTCAATTTGAAATTACATCACAAATGACACAACAAACTTTGCATGTGAAGAGAAGCACTATGGAACTTTTAAGAAAATATTGTATAAAAAGCTAATCCAATTTTCAGTAGAACAATAAGATGAGTTCAAAGAAGCTTTTTAACCTTGAATGAACATATTCGTATAGCCACTCCCTCTCCACAATGGAATAACAAAATGCCGGCTACAAGAAAACCATCCAGAAAAGTCAAGGCAAGATAATGATAGAAAATCAAACCAAATCTAACAAATGAATGGTAAAGAAGAGAAAAATACCAGGATATAGATCTTTGATCTAAGGCATGGTACAATTGTGCTTTGATGGCTGTACCAATATGACCTCTTCCCAGATGATACTATTAAACAAAGTAACAAATTAGGAATTCTAACTGCTCGTTATGATCAACAATAAATCAATTTTCCATCTACTTACATCATCCCATACAGAAATAAGGTCCTCTGGTGATTGGAATTTGGCCTTCTCAATGTCAATTATGGAATCAAGGGGCTTCCACTGCAATGGGGTGAAGCCAGTAGCAAATTTGGACCCTCGGCTAAACCCTAAAGCTACCCATTTTATGAAATTCCTTGGGACTGAATCCAGTTCTCTACCCCCCAACATGGACAGGTTGCTATTGACACCAAAATGCAGTCTACTAAGAGAGAGAAAAAAAGGAAAAATTGGAGCATGGGAATGGTGTCCAAAGGGATATTGTTGGACCAGAGTTTTCTTAGAGAAATATGAAATTATTCTCGGTAGGTTTTGCATTGTAGGAAAAGATCAATATATCAAGCTGGCGGAAACTCCTTTGCCTGTCCACAACGGTTATTTTTCTACTACCTACTACAATGACGCTATTACACACTTCAGAACATCACAAGCTGCCAAAAATAAGAGCAGTTAGTAATAAAAAAAAAAATTACAGAAATAAATATAAATTAATAATGAATGATTTTCCGGTTCTAATTAATGACAACGAAGTAAATAAAAACAAAACTGAAGAAACAAATTAATAAGGGATACTAATATAGTTTAAGTGCAAACAAAATTTAAGAGGGTAATTTTTTAAAAGGAACACTACAGTAGTCAAAATTAGGCAAAAAATTTATATTTGTTTAAATTTAAAAAAAGGAAACATAATGTCAGGTGGGTAAGATGTGGAAAAAATTTTTATTGCATACATTTAACTTTTTTTTCAATTGTTTTTATTTGAATAATTAGTTTTTTTTTTTTGCTCTCATGATATGTAGTATAGCTCTATTTTGTGATGACTTGTTTTACATTGAAAATGAAATAAAACTTTAAAATGATCATTGCCATGTTATGGACTCTAAGTATATTCGATGCATATGAATTTGCCAATCCTATTATATTCTACCATATAATGAGTATCATGGTTTTATAATTTTCAGATAAATTTGGTTGTAAGCACTAATGGTGAATCAAGAAAATTAAAATGCTACAGAGGGCTCCTCAAATCCCCTAAAAGGATGGTACTTCAACAAATCGTGTTATATGCACCAATTTTGGCGAGAGAACTATCAAACGAAAGGTAATTTCTAAACTACTACTAATAAAAAACAAAGATTTTTCCCTCCAAAAATGACATTGTATAACTGACCAGCATAAACTTCCTTTTTTTTTTTAAATTGACCAGCATAAACTTACGTGGTTAATAAAAGGCGTTTTAGAGATAAAGAGGCTTCAACTAAGGATATTAATTTTTAAAAAATGATAAGATATACAAAGGCAGAAAAGACCAGTGCCTACATAGATTGTTTGTAACTAAAAATACAACATGAAAAAAATAAATTGGTTAGAATCAAAATTTTTTTTTATTTTTAACATCCGCTGGAATTTTCTCAAGGGCCGGATGAACTTAATAATGAATGTATTCTTCGTACCAAACATATTTGGTAACAAGATAATGATGTACTTAAATAATTCCAAGCATAGTCAATTACAACAAACAAAGGAAAAAATGATAATTTCCTTACAGGATCAGGTTGGAGAGTATTACATGAGCAATTTGTTGAAAGTACACGTCACTTAGTTGGACTATATGAAATTCATATGAGATTTCAGAAGCTTATGGGGACATCATAAGAGCAATATACTATAATGCACTTTGAACAAAATGTAGGTTATCGTGGGACATTGCTACAAGATTGAAAACTCTTTGAAGATAAGTTCATAATGGAATGATTCAAAGCAGAAGAAATTTCTAATTGCAGACAAATTAGAGAAACAATGGTGATTCAACTCCTTCAAGTGCAACAACTTTTTCATTCTTCTTCAATTGCAACATCACTCAAAATCACTTACAATCATGAGTACACAACAAAACAAGGATGAAAAGATTGAGCAACTTAGAGCATGTAATGGGGGTGTAGAAAGTTATAAGTAGCATACTAGTTTCAAGAATAACCAGGAAATAGTTATTGATATTAGTGCACTATCAGAAATTAATTAGTATATTTGATGAGGTCATCGATCAACGGTTCAGACACGTATATCGCCGGAAACATCGCCGATCGATGGCCACGATTCAGAGCTTATATTTTAGTTATTCATGCATTTTCAGTTTTCAGTATTCCTGTTTTACCCTTGTGTGTGAGTGAGTCATGTTGGGGCCCCGAGGGCGATTTAGTCATTATTTATGCTTTTATTTTTTTTTTATATCTCATGACCTATATATAGGGGTCATGTATCATTGTATGAGGTTAATGAATATTTGAATGAAATTTTATGTTATCTTCTTCTTCTTGCATGAGGGCTAGAGAAGGGTGATTGAGCTCAAGGTGAGCGTTTGCAATACCCACCAGTCGTTGGAAGCGTCCTCGACTCGTGGTTCGTGTTATCTTATTGTTTTCTTTTCTAAATTTTGGTTCTCCTTTTCTCCCCACGACAATCTCACCGAGATCCATTCCTCCAACACTTCATCCAATCGTTTCCACCACTAGAATTCCAAGCTCCGCCAAAAGAACCCCACCCAACCCGTCGCCACCCCACCCCTCCTACATTAGCCCGCCGGCCATCCATGCTCCACCCTTGGTGACGACCTCCATCATCCTAGTGGCTCCTTGATTGTTGCATAGCAATGAATGAGGAAGTTACTACATTTTGAATTTCAAATTTTGAAAATTCAAAACTTTCCTTATTTAAAATCTTCCAAAAAAGGAAAGTTGAAATTGATCCAATTCAAATTCTTCACATGAGGAGTTACTAATTTTTTCATCCTATGTGCAACAACCCATTTGGAAAGTGTGCAATTGCTTCCTCATCCCCTCCCCTCTCTCCTAGCCGCCGGCCCCATCAAAGGGGAATCCCACTTAAGGCTAGTTAATGACAATTAATTCTCTTGATTCAAATTTCAAATCTCATTTAACTCCCTCCAAATTTACTTGAATCTTGAAATTAAATCAGATTTAGTAAATCTCTCCCCTCCCTCACCCATGCGCCGGCACCCAAGAGGAATCCCATAATGCCAATGTTAATGCATTCCACTAACACCATTTCAAAATTCAAATTCCAATTAATCTCCCTCCAAATTTAATTAAATCAAATTAAATTCAGATTTTGATTAAAACTGAAATTTATTTCAGAAATTATTGAGGAATTAACTTGGAATTGAATTTTTCTAAACCCTAATCTCCCCTCTTGCGACCCGCCGCCCCCACCTCCCCAGTGATCTCCTGCCGGGCTCTCTCACACTCTCCGCCTCCCTTCTTCCCACCAAAGCAAGGAGCCTCTACTACCCCATCCCTCTTAGTCCTCCTCCACTTTGAAAGAATCCCCTTACCCAAGCATGAATGCGGTATCGGAGTGGAATGCGGCGATTGAGTCTTCAACGCCGACGAAGCATCACATCCTACGCTCACGTGCTTCGACGTAGCGATTTGAAGACGAGACCACCGTATAAGAGTACTTGGAAAGAGTCGTACCCATCCTTGCGAGCATCTACGACCGGAAATTTGCAAAGCACACTTGGAGTCTCGAAGGTCAAGCATTCACGCCCGCCGCGTCATCGTCGACCTCTCCGTGGCTCAAGACCCTTGGCATCGCAACCTTCCTCGTGGCATCGTTTGGTGTGCTGAAATTCTTCTCCCGCAAAGCCTAGTCTAGTTGAGAGAGTATTTCCCCAAGGTGAACTTCTCGTTATTAAATGACGGATTGTTGTAATAGCTTTTAGTGTTGCTACTATTTTTGGTTGTCTGAAGATTTTGGCTAATCTACATACTTCTTCACCTAAGCTAGTTGATAACTACGAAATTTTGAATGATTTTCTTGCTATCTCAATAAGATATTAATTGAAATTACGTTGTCATTCACTTTTAATTCTCTTAAGAAGCTCATTCGCATGTTCGTTCTACATCAATATTCTTCTTGTATTGCATTACACATGCCCAAGTATTGCTTCCCAAAAAAATTTCTTTTACTTGTGTTGACCTTAGCTCAAATAGAAAATTACATTCAACTCATTAAACCATTTTACAAAAAACTCCACAAAAAACATTCATTAAAAAAAAGATCAATTAATGATGACCATATGAAAATAATACTAGAATAAATTTTTTAGAAAAATTAGCAACGAATTAATACGACAATAATGCTTCTACAAAATAAAATTTTTTAGCTGTGAAAAATCAAGAATAGCAATAAAAGTCTAAAAAAAATGTGTAGATAAAAATTTACATACTACGCGTCAAAATAACAAACAACCATCTAATTCATCAAATAAATTAACGTAAATCTTATGCAATACAGAAAACATCATAAATTTATGTGAAAAAATATACAAATAAAAATAAATTCATATAAATAACTCAAAAATTAAGTTTTGTAAAACTTTTTTTTTCTGTAAAATAACAAGTTAATCGTCAATGCATTCAGACACTAAAAAAAAATGCTATAATTATGAAAACTAAAATGTCCTTTTCAAGCTCATTAGGGTTGGAAGATTTTAGAATATTTGTAAATTTAAAATTAACAAATAAAAAAAAGGAGGTGGGCAAAGGACAACCCATGTGGATTGTCCACATGGTCATATTGAGTGGATGATTAATTCCCCTCCATCTCCCACCCTCAACCACTAAGTTTCTCCATGAGCAGGAAAGTTGTTCCAAACAATAAATTTATTTTGGTGTCTATTTCTTTCCCTTTGAATCCCTAACATTCATTTTAAAAGAATACCCAATTATAGTTACATTAACCTTAATCATAAGCTTCTCATCCAAAAACTCCCAATTTTAGACATGAGGCTCGTTTAGCATGGCTTCACCATGCAAACATGTAAATCACAAGGGTGAAACTATTCAGCCAACCTAAATGCGACGCTCCCCATCCAAGCCTAAGGCAATGGATTTGGGAATACTTAGGGCACAAAAGATAATTCATATCACTATCACCACCCCAAACACAACAATAGTCCCTGCTCTTTTACTTCAACTACATCAAACTCATTTTAATTGAATCATCAGTAACAATGAAGACAACAAAACATGGATGGCAAAGTACAAAACACATAAAATAGGTTAATGGGAGTGATATCTTACTCCATTGTGATTAACATTGATCCCTTGATATTGCACCCTTCTAAGAAGCGATACACGAGCAAAAGGTTTTGCTAAAATTAAGTGCTTCATATAGTTTGTGGCTCTCATGGGCCATGGTTGTTCTATAACAATTGATTAAAGTTCAAAACTAGGTGGCTCCAATTCAGAATCCATGTGATTGAGTGAGCTTATAGTGCATGGCATTTGATAATAATACAAAGTTTCCGAATGAGAGGAGTAATGGTTGATGTGAACTTTTATATGAGCGAAAAATGGTCTTGCATCAAAAGAAATAATAAGTTTTGAGTTCCTAATATACAAGTAATAGCCCTTACCCATTATCATAAGCTTTTGGGGGCAGATCAATGCCAATCTAGTAGTGCATTTGGTTTAAATTTTGGACCCCCAGTGTTCCACCATCCTAACAAAATAGAACTAAAGGAAAAGACAAGGAGCACATGAGATATTTTAAGATACATAACTAAAACCTATCACTAATTGGTCTTGAATATCAAACTACCAACAATTGTTTGCCTTCTGTGATGCAAAAGCATTGACACAACACCACAAACTTGACATGCCACAAAAATGAAACACGATAACTCTTAAAAGATATGTAGTATGTAGATGCGTGTTGAGCAAGACAAAATAAATAAATAAATACTATGATACATAATATATGATAAATATTGAAGATAAAATTATATCTTTTAAAACTATAAAAACTTCTAAATCAAACATGATAAAAAACATCATCAAAATCATAAGTTATCATCGTGTCATAGGGCTTACTAAATCGAATGCGATAAATCATAATTACTTATTTCAAATCACAATTTTGATGATTGAAGTAGGGTACTTTGTGTATAAAATATTTTCAACAAGTATGAGCTAAAAAACATCCTAGAGATGTCCAAAAAAAATTGTCGTAAATAAAAATGAGACATAACCAAATAATGTATTTGACATGGTCTACGAAAGTATTCATGCATTCGGCACAGTGTACTAAAGTATTCTTACATTTGGCATGGTGTTATAGCCTTGCAGAAATGCTTATCATTCATAAGCTACCTTAGACCACAATTGCACTCTTCCTCTCACACTCTTTTAAGTTGTTTGCAAGAGCCACTACCATCATTACAACATTCTTGAAAAGTGGAATCTGTTTGTTAGAAAAATTCATAGGGTTAACAGCTTTATAAAACCTATAACTTGGGCTTCCATTTGCGCCATTTTACCTCTTATTAAGAACCCTTTGCATCACCAACCCAATCATACTAAACCTTAGGTTGACCTATACAACTCTCACATTGGATCATCTCAATCAGGAAAAGTCGAGAAAAAAAAAAAAGAAACAACGAAAAAGATAAAGATGGTCTCCATTAAAGAAAGACCAAGCCAATCAAAAGAAGAAGAAGAAGAAGTAAATAGGAGATGAAAATAAAATTAAAATTTAAAAGGAAATACCTTTTTAACTCAAGAATCATCCAAAGTTCATTAAAAAACTCTAATTAAAATGTTTAAGGGAATGGCCTTGAGATATAGACTAATAAATTATCATAAAAATAAAATAAAATGACATAATTTGATGAATATTGATAATTCCACAAATGAAAAAAATAACAACAAGATAACATATGGCTCATAATGTCATAGATAAACACATAATTAAAAGAAAATTAATGACACTAAACCGTGAAATAAATAACTTCATGATATACAATAAGCGATCAAATAATACGAACACCAAAATTAGGCCTTTGGTGTGTCATTGCAAGGATTTTCTCCAAGAGAAAAGAAATACAACATTGCCTGGACCATTTTAAGAAGTCAGTTGGACAAAAATGATTGGTCCAAAAGTCAACCAATCTATCAGAATGAAATGAATTGAATTATCACCAATCAGCTCATGAGCTCTTTTGGTTCATCTCTTTTAAAGGCAATGCTTCTCCAGTTCTTCCACCATCAACTATGAAAAGCTCTATTAAAAATGAATTTTGGTGGTAGAAGCCATTAATGGTGGAGATGGCTAAAAAGGTGAACACTTTTTAAAGGAAAAAAACATGGAGGAAGTTAGCATTGGGCTGCCTTTGCCACTATAGTGCCTCCCTTATGCAAGGAAGCTAAGGTCAATTGAAAATGACTGACCGATCATAAGTAGTGTTATTCCACCCATGACATTCATGTCTTCATTGGACTTAGATTATAAGGATATTTTTCATTGCATCTTTTAATGTAATTTTAATCATGAAACATATATAATCATTACCTGTAGCATCATAAGCACTAGTCTTATCCTAACCATTTGGGTTTGACATTATTAATCCTTATTTTTCATTTGCTATTGTTGAGTGTTACATTGGTCATTAAATCTATTACATCCAAATGTTTTTACACAACTTCAATCCGTATTACATTAAAAGAGACCTATCTTCTAAAAATTGAACCATACCAATTACAATGATAGAGCTTTGGTGCCAAATGAGAATATCTGTTTCTTCATTTTCTTTTCTTTCCAATCTCTATTCCAAAGTTCTATAAAATTCACACTCCAATACAACCAGTGCATCATTATAACATATTGAAAAAAAAACTCATTTTGATACATGAACTAAAAACACAAGAGTCAATCATTTCTTTTCACACAAAGTAATAGGACTTTTTGGGGCCATTTTATGTCCACATAAGTCTTTAGAACTGATTGATGCAATGTTTGAAAAGCAATTTTCAGTGATATTTGTTTCTTTTATATGAGCTCACTTCTTGCAACTTTAATTATAAGCTTTAGTTTTATCTGACAACTCATAAATTACAATATTAAATAGAAATAGTATTATAATCTAATCTTCTTTCAACTATGTGTTCTTTTATTGCTACATCTTGCAAATACAAAAAAATGGAAGTGACTTCGAAATACTCATAAATGAAACTAACTTCTCATGCCTCACTGTCATTCATCTTCATCCAAACAAATATTGCAACTCACTTTCAATCAATTCTGACCACTAACAAGCTGGCCTTAGCAGAAAGCAACATATTGCAGGTGAAGCCAGAAAGACAACAAGCCTAGAATTTCTCACAATAAATTCGAGAAAGTATATGATCTCCTCAATCAGTTAGGGGCTGCTTGGTAACAGGAGTAAACCAAAATCATGCCAAACAGCAAAGAAGCCAACTTTAAATCCTACAGTCTATTAAATCCCGTTTCTCACCCGTTTTACCTTAAACCCCAGATATCATAGATACAGGCATTGGATGGATTTAACCTAAATCATCAAGCCTCACGATTTCTTTTTCGACTTCAGACGCCGCTGGCTCCGTCCATGCCTTCTTCCCTCCAGCGAGCTCCCGTCCCTTGCATTCTTTGTCGTTGAGGGCTCGGAGAATCAATGGGAAACGGACCAGGGTTTCGAACTAAGTTTATAATCCGCAATTTCTTATTTTATTTTTATAAATTTGTCGATTTTTTATTTTGTTATTATTAATTAGACATTATTTCAGTAAAATATATTAATTAAATAATTAACTTTATTTTTATAAATAATATTAATTATCTAAAAATTAAATTGAAATATTAAATTTACAATCATAATTATATTATTTATATGTTATTTATATATCTAATCCTCAAAATATATTCTTTTAAACGTCAAAATAGTCTCTTTGTTTACCCCTTCATCTTCCTTTCCTTATAGGATGTTATGCAACATGATTTATATTGGATTTAGCATTAATTCTGCCAAAAGTGATTTGAGAATCCAGCAAATCTCATGGTGAGATAAATCCGCCATTAGCTTATTTTTTATTATAAATCTTAGATTTATTAAATTTCGATAAATTTAGGGGATTTGGCCAAAGAAGCATGCAAATAAGAGAAAGATGATTACCTTCGCAGCGGCCAAGCTCCCGTCATCTTTAAAGGAGGCAAAGAACGTAGTCAAAGGGGGCAAAGGAGGAACGTCATTGAACGATTGCAACTTTCAATTGATAGGAATACCAACAACGTTGTCGAAGGAGACAGACGCATTTAAACCAAGTAGTAGAGAAGAGTAAAAGCAAAGCAGTAAGGGACTATATGGTTGGCTAAAGAGGAATGCAATGTAAAAAAGAATATTTGGAGTTGTTTGATGGATGTAAGGTAAATGTAGGTGATTTTTTTTTAATTAAGAAGTAATGAATGTTGTGTAAAATCTAAATATGGCGGTGGTCGACGACATTTGGTAGCGGGTAGCAGCCACGAGCTGGTGGTGGCAGTCAACGAATAGCAGCTGGCGACGGAGACTAGCAGTGGTGGTTCCTACAGGGTGGCAACCGGCAATGGTTGGTTTTTCATTGCATCTTTTAATGTAATTTTAATCATGAAACATATCATCATTACCTGTAGCATCATCAGCATTAGTCTTATCCTAACCATTTGGGTTTGGCATTATGAATCCTTATTTTTCATTTGCTATTGTTGAGTGTTACATTGGTCATTAAATCTATTACATGCAAATGTTTTTACACAACTTCAATCCATATTACATTAAAAGAGACCTATCTTCTTAAAATCTAACCATACCAATAACAATGATAGAGCTTTGGTGCCAAATGAGAATATCTATTTCTTCATTTTCTTCTCTTTCCAATCTCTATTCCAAAGTTCTATAAGATTCACACTCCAATTCAACCAGCGCATCATTATAACATATTGAAAAAAAAAAAAAAAACTCATTTCAATACATGAACTAAAAACACAAGAGTGAAACATTTCTTTTCATACAAAGTAATAGGTCTTTTCGGGGCCATTTTATGTCAACATAAGTCTTTAGAACTGATTGATGCAATGTTTGAAAAGCAATTTCCAGTGATATTTGTTTCTTGTATATGAGCTCACTTCATGCAACTTTATCATGTCAACTTTTATCTGTCAGCTCATAAATTACTATATTAAATAGAAATAGTATTCTAACTTAATCTTCTTTCAAATATATGTTCCTCTATTGCTACATCTTGCAAAAACAAGAAAAAAAATGAAAGTGGCTTCGAAATACTCATATATGGAAAACTCACTGCTCATGCCTCACTGTCATTCACCTTCTTCCAAACAAATATTGCAACTCACGTTCAATCAATTCCGACCACTAACAAGCTGGTCCTAGCAGAAAGCAACATATTGCAGTTGAAGCCAGAAAGACAACAAACCTAGAATTTCTCACTATAGATTCGAGAAAGTATATGATTTCCTCAATCAATTAGGGGCTGCTTGGTAACAGGAGTAAACCAAAATCGTGCCAAACAGAAAAAATGCCAACTTTAAATCCGACAGACTATTACATCCCGTTTCTCTCCCGTTTTACCTTAAACCTCAGATATCATAGATACGGGCATTGGATGGATTTAACCTAAATCATCAAGCTTCGCGATTTCTTTTTCGTCTTCAGACGCCGCTGGACCCGTCCATGCCTTCTCCCCTCCAGCGAGCTCCCGTCCCTCGCTTATTTGTCGTTGAGGGTTCGGAGAATTAACGGGAGACAGACCAGGGTTTCGAACCAAGTTTATAATCCGCAATTTCTTATTTTATTTTTATAAATTTGACGATTTTTATTTTGCTATTATTAATTAGAAATTATTTCAGTAAAATATATTAATTAAATTGATAGGAATACCAACAATGTTTAATTAATATATTTTACTGAAATAACTTAATTGTTCGGAGGAATGTCGTTGAACTGTCGTGACTTTCAATTGATAGGAATACCAACAATGTTGTCAAAGGGGACAGACACATTCAAACCAAGAAGTAGAGAAGAGTAAAAGCAAAGCAATAAGGGACTATATGGTTGGCTAAAGAGAAATGCAATGTAAAAAAAATATTTTAGAGTTATTTGATGAATGTAAAGTAAATGAAGGTGAATTTTTTTTTTTTTTATTAAGAAGTAATGAATGTTGTGTAAAATCTAAGTATAGTGGTGGTCGACGACATTTGGTAGCGGGTAGCAGCCACGAGCTGGTGGTGGTAGTCAACGAATAGCAGCTGGCGACGGAGACTAGTAGGGAGACTAGTAGTGGTGGTTCCTACAAAGTGGCAACCGGCAATGGTCGATAGCGATTATGGCTGGTAGTGGGGGTCAAGCTTGCTTGCTTGTGACGTAAATGCTTCTCGCTTAAAACTATGAGAGTTTGGTTTACTTAAAAATGAACTTATATTTTATCATTATTACTTTACGTTAATTTACTTTGTATTTCTTTTTTATCCAATCAAATACTTAGATTTTCAAAACCCTGCACTTAAAATACTTTATACCACACTTTTATTCCAACCAAAAAGTCCTAAGTAATAAGCAATTAATTAGTTATTTATAATAATAATTCAATAATTAATAAGATAATTATAAGCTAAAATGGAAATTAAACAATTATTAAAATAACATTTTAATAAATAATTATATCATTAGTACTATAATTACTAATTAATTAATTAATCATAAACCTATGGAAAACAATCAAATTATGGTCAAATCACCAAGCCACCTAAGCACCCCCTTTCCTCCAACAAAACCTGCTTAAAGCCAACCCAAATCCCTCTTGAAGGAGCCCTAATGCAGCTCTTAAACCAAGCCAAGCCTTGGTTTAGCCTGATGGGGAAGAAGAATGTGGTTCCCCATCCCATGAACCAAAAGAGGTCTCACTCAATCCCCATACTTTCCCCTGGTTTCTAACAGCCTTGGGACACATGGAAAACATCCAATCAATGCCCCAAATCAATCCCAACTCTCCATTCAAAAACTAATAGATTAGGATGGGGGGATCTAACCTAAGGGCTGCATTCACTCAAACATTTTATCTCAGGAGCCTACAGCTCTCAGAACCTCTCCCATAGCTTCTCCAGCATCCTTTCTACCTCCTACCATCATTTCCCAACTATTTCCAAACCCCCAAACCTTATTTTGGTGAAGAGAGAGGGTGGTAGTGAAAGAAAATGAAGTTTGCAACACAACTTTTAATCCAGTTACAACAAGCTGGAGGAGTCTTTTGCAAAGTTGGAGAGGACATCAACAGAAGCAAAAAGAGTCCAAGACCAACAAAATCCATCCACTGATTGGTGAGGTATCTTGACCTTTAGTTAAAATTTTAATTTAAAACTACTCAAAATTACAATGCATGGAGCCTCCAAACTCCAGACAATGAAAATTTATGTTATCATGAGCTTATGTTTCAAATTTCATAGTATTTGGACGAGCATTTTTAAAGTTATAGATATTTGAAATTTTTAGTTCATTTTGAACTAAGATGGCTCAGATTTGATATGAGCCATCCGATCGCCCGTTCAGTCCTATCGGACGGCCCAAAATTGGCCACATCACCCATCCGATTTCGCACATTTTCCTCTAAAAAAAGCCTTTGTCCTTCTGCACTCAGCTGAAGGAGATGCCTCACCACTAGCCTCAAGCTAGTACAAAAGTTTTCTCACCAAGAATTTCCATAGCTCTTACAACCAAGAACCCTCACTCTAGCAAAAGTGAGGAAATAAGGATATAGAGTAGAAAGAACAATCTTTGTGCATCCTACTTTCTAAGCAACCTTTCAAGAGATTTCTCACAATTAATCCTATGTTTCTTATATTCTCTTCATCTCATAATAGAATGGGTCTCTTCAAAAGCTGCCTCTCAACTCTTTTGAACTCCTCAAGAGAGCTTGAAACGTCCAACAACTTGTGTTAAAAGTCTCTAAAAGAGTATTTATATGATGCACATTGTACTGTCCGGTTGAGATTTGTCCAAACAAACTCTCAGTTTATTCTAATTATACGATAAGTATCGTATCATATGATCTATACAATGATGGCAACTCAGAGCATTGGATTTATATGTTCAAATGGAGTTTGACCAAACATGCTTTCTATTTATTCAGATTGTGCCATTGGGATCGTACAGTACAAAACTTTGATTCATTCCCTTGATTTTAGGTTCTCAAATAGGTAAAACATAATGTACGAATTAAAGTTTCGTGTTGTACAAAGTATTTAGTCCATAATGAATAGTTCAAATTTTGAATTTACATATTTTTAGGAATTTTACGATTTTAATGATTTCAATTGAAATAGCTGACCGTCCAGTATGATCTTCATTGCATTGTAAAATTATGCAAAATTTCAATTTTGATTTTAGTTAGTTAATCCCACTTGATTTTTCATAATTTATAAAATTGACATTCAAATCCTACAACAAAATTAAGTGAGAAATTCAAATGCTTTTATGAACTCTATTTAATTTTACATCACCCCTTGTGTGTGTGACTTTTCAACCAATTTTATGCCTAAACATACAGAAAAACTCAAGAAAAATAAAAATAGAATTTATAAGTTGGCAAGCTTTCTGATTCTTGGTCTTCTTAATATTGGCGAATTTGTTTTGTTTTCAATTCCTTTTCCTTGAGCATGTTCTTGTCTTGAATCTGTAATTTGTATGCTTCTTTTTAGAAAAAATTTCATGTGTTTTTATTGATTTTGAAAATGCATGTGATTTAGTATGAATTGAGAGAATATATATATATCAGGACAATTGAAAGTACTAAATGTATGTATGGAGTGTTGCTATTATTAGTTGTTTTGGAGGGATCAAAGGATTTTCAATTGCAATATAATTACATAATTAAGGAGTTAGCTTTGATTTAGGATTTTTTTATTCATTATGGAGATGTTTAAAAATAATATTTAAAGTTAGGTGCCTTGATCTATTCTTTTTTCATATGGCATAGCTCTAATCAGCTAAATATTTGAACTAAGTAGAAAGACAAAATATTATAGAAAATATTTTGAATAAATGGTTTTGAAATTGAAGAACGAAGTTTGAGTCTATCGTATGCAATTTTAGTGATGATCACGTTAATAAAATTTAATTGAATATTGTTAAAAGATAAAATAATGCTTAAAATGTGAAGCAAGTTTGATCTATTGTATTAAAAAATTGGGATCTTGATGAGGATTTTACTTAGAAAATTAAGGTTTCTGGTTAAAATAAAGAAATTTCTCAAGAGTATTATGGGTTAAGAAAATATCATTGAAACTCAAAATTAAGTTGTATTAAATTGCAATTAGTTGGATATATTGTATGTACTTCAGAAGGTCTTTAAAGAAGTCATTCATAACTAGTTGGATGTAAACAACAAGAAGATCAAGTATTTATCCCAATATGTGAGGTTGATTACATGAATCATTATTCTATATTGTGTCATATTAAGAATTAAGTTATCATTTAAATTTAATAAAAAAAGTAACTTCTAATACATTATAATAAAGTCTTTCCAAGTATACCTCTATCTTTCTTAAACATAGTCCAGAACTAATCCATCTACTCTCTTAATTGGGTCATGCATTGGATGGCTAACATTTTATGTGACCTAACCATCAAAAATCAACCCTCTCTAATCTTATATGCCATTGGAGCTACACGATCCAACCTTTTCACAGACACACTCGTTTCAAATTCTGTCTCTAAGAGTAAAACCACTAATCCACCTAAGTATCCTCATCTCTACAACAATTCACTTAATTTTATGCATCTTTTAATGGCCAACATTCTGAGCCATAAAGCATTACAAGTCTCACCACCATCTTACATTTTTTTTTCCCTTAAGTTTGAGGGATACTTTTCTGTCACACAATAAATCCATCACTTTCCTTCACTTCAATCATCCGATTTAAGTTCTAATAATATCACCATCTATTCCACCATCACTTTGAACAATAGACCCGATATATCTAAACCGTGTACTCTTTTTTAATGATTTGATCAGCTAGAGTCACAATCTTCCCACTAGATTCATTTCTACTAAAATTATAGTCAATATATCCGGTTTTAGATATACTCAAACAAAAATTCTTAAACTCTAAAGTTGACCTCGATAATTCAAGTTTTCCTTTAACTTTCTATCTAATCTTATCAATAAGAAGAATATCATTGATGAAAAGCATACACCAGGTTACATCCTTTTATAAATGTCTAGTAAAAACATCCATGACTAAAACAATATATATGAGCTTAAAGCTGATCCTTGATATAATCCAACTAAAATAGGGAAATACTTGGTCAAATCACTTTGTGATTGAACACAAGTAAAAACTCCTTTATACATATCCTTAACGACTTGAATATAAACATTATCAACTCCTTTCTTTTCTAGAACTCTGAAGAGCACTTCTCTTGTAACTTTATAATATGCTTTCTCTAAATTTATAAATATCATATGTATATTCTCTTTATACTTGTCCATGAAACTCCTCAATAAATGTATAGCTTCCATAGTAGACCGACCAAGCATGAATCCAAATTGATTTTGAGAAACATTAGTAACATGTCGTAACCTATGCTTAATTATTCTCTCCCATAGTTTTAATGTTTGACGCAACTTTATTCCTTTATAATTCACACACTCTTCTGCATTACTTTTATTCTTAAAAATATGAACTAACACATTGCTCCACTTATCCGATATCTTTTTAGTTTTTAGAATAATATTAAAATGCTTAGTAAGCCAAAAAAAAAAAAAAGATATCTTAAGCAAATTTTACACCTCTATTTGAATATATCAAGTCTAAATGTTTTTTATATCAAATCTATCTATTTTTTCGCACTTCATTTTGTTTAAACTTTTCTAAATTCAGTTTTACTAATACAATAATAAAAATAAAATCTCTACTATCTTTTAGGGTGTTAAAGTCCATAAAGTTAATCGTATTCTCACATTCTTTATTGAAAAGCTTATAGAAATGTCTCATCTACCAATTTTGAATATCCTTTTATAATAAAAGCACTTTTTAATTTTCATTCGTAATGCACTTCATTTGAACCAAATCCTTATTTTTGTTATCTCTTTGCTTGGTTAACTTATACATATATCTTTGTTCTCATTAATATCGAATCTATTATATAAATCATTAATAGCTAAGTTTTTTGCAGAGCATCTTTCTTTCTTAGACTCTTAATGGTGTTTATATCCTTCCAAATTTCTTGAGCATTTATATCTAAAATATTTTTTACAACAATTTTTTTTTATTTATCTTTTTTTTGTGTATTTTACTTCCACCTTGATCCCGCGACCTGATCGGGCAGGTCGAACCCAAACCAGGGGCACTGCCCCTTGGACCCCCGACATATCTGAGAAACGTACAACAATAAATAAATAGGGGTCGAGAGGCAGCGCCTCGAAACAATTTTTTATTGTAAGGTTATTTATGAAAAAAAAAAAAAACTCTACCCTTTGACTTATAAATTTGCCTCCCCTAAAAATTAAGACCGGATCCGCCCGTGCAAATGATTGTAACAAAATGGGTTTGCTACAAGTATATGACTGAGATTAAATGAACTGCTGACATGCAGAGAATCAGTCGAGTGGAGCAGGTTTGCCACCGTGGGTGCCTCAGTCCGGAGTAGTGGTTGTATTAGTAGCTTTATCAATGAGGAATTTAACTTTCTTTTTCACAGATGGCCGATTATGGCCCAAAAGCAAGAAATTCGAAATGACACTGAAAAAACAACTAATTTGTTTGCCTTCCTTTTTAACAAGCCTTGACCTCCCTTCTCCTTAGCTAGCCAAGCTAGCAGGCTAGCTTCTTTATGCTACTATGAATCACAGATTTGAGCAAGGGAGAAATTACTCAGTCGAAACTCAGTTAAGAATCAAAAGGAAAATTATCAGCGAAGTAGCTTTTGATATAATATGATGAACATAGCTAGTAATTTACTGAGAAAAAATGTTGCTTAATCAATGAAATTGAATGATGTGGTTGTCTTAATCAAAAGGAAAACTTACTAATCTACCTATAAATGGTAATCTAAGAATGATGCAGTGGTTGTCATAATACTCATCAGCAATCACCAAATAAGTATCACCCTCATAAGATGAAATCTCCTTGAACTTCTTCACTACTAAGAAGAGGCAAAAAGGTAGTTATTGGCCATGGTATTCTATCCTCTGTCATATAGCATATTGAAATCATGATACAAGCGAAGCTGTTTGGCATGATCTGAGCTAATATTGCTATTAAAATTGATTATATCAGCTTGTTCTCCACATCGTGGGAAGAATAAGATGAGTTTGAATTGATCTTGATAACAACACAAGTTGTCCTTATCATTATGTTAGGATACTTGCATAGCTCCACAACAAAAATCTGGAAGGCAACAAATTTTTTGTATTTCAAATAATTTGACTTCCACATCAGTCACATTAGTACTCGTGCATGTTAATCATTCTGCATAAGCTCTTTCTATGATTGGAGAAATTATTACGTGTGGTTACCGAACGGTCTGGAGGCTAATCAGAACTTGCCAAGCCATTTGATACACAATGGTAAACAATGATGATATATAGTGTATTGATGACATGTCACATCCTGATTGGCCTCCAGACGGGATCCGATAACTGCACGTAATAATTTCGCCTATGATTGTGAAGCAATAGAGTGCATGCTCCCAATGAAAAAACTCTTAAACATTTATAACATTAATCAGAACAACTACTTGAATTCAATACGGATACAGCGTATAGCTAAGCAAACGGGTAGCAGACAAAACATAAGCTTCCAGTGCCTAACAGCTTAATTATGAAATAATGATCACTTGGATTGGAAAACATTTTAAGTATTTTCAGAGAGAATACATTTTCAATCAATAAATGTTTTAAAACTCGTGTAAATGTAACATCTTCTCACTCATTAGCTCCTGTTCTTCTATGAACATCAACCAATTTTACCAAATTTCACTAATGACTGTACAACCTGCTTTAACCATTCATATAAACAGCTACTCAGCTTTGCACACTTTTACCCTGCAAATTGTAACAAACTCAACCAACCAGCCAGCCAGCCAGCCGTTGGAACTTCAAAATAATTACCTACACTACACTCTTTAAAGGTGATCGAGTCGCTCTTAGCCTCACCAAATTATCAAAACAGACCCACTTGTAGTTGGGTTGAAACTGGCTTGATTTGATTCATTTTGGCCCACAGTTGATGAACACCATCACCCGAAAATCGAAGTAGCCGAGCCCGAGAAAAGTTGAAGAACTCAACTGAAAAGTTCATTAAGTTAAAATGTTCTCTTAGCTGAATGTTTGCGTCATCATATCAAACATATACATGTTAACAAGTTAATATGAAAATCTCCATTCACAGCAGAGGGAAAGGACAATCCAACAAATTGTTAAAAAATAAAAAATAAAAACACCACAAATCAAGTTCTAACAATCACTAACCTCCACAATCCTCAGGGCGTGGAAGCTCTGTGCATCAAACAGTCGATATTGCAAAATCCAACTGACCTCATCATATCTCCAAAGCTGCCATATCATTTTACCACAACAGTTAACAACCAAACATACAAGACTAAGAAACAAGAATATTCATATAGCATATAATGAAAACAATAAAAGCCTCAAAACAAAAAACAAAAATGTTAGCCAATGTTTATAGTAATTTCTGACCGATCAAAGCTCTTCCTTGGCTTCTCTAGATAATCCATATTGTCATTTGGCCTGTTAGCAGGACAACAATCAGTGCTTTTTCTTGATTTTTCCTTCCTAGTGATGCTGATTCTACGCTCAATACTCCGCCGAGCTTTCACGCTTTTTTCAGTGCCCTGCTGAGGTTTATTTTTCTTGTCAATACTGGGCCTAGATTTCTCCTTCTGGTCAGTGCTATTTCTTGGAGGCTCCAAAGTAACAGAACTTATGGGAGGTGTCTCAGGCAACTGCGGAATCTCAGAAGTTTTGGCAGGTAACCTCTCTACAACTGAGACAAACTTTTTTAAGTGTCTTATATATTCAGGATAGAGCTCCAAATTACAATGATTCCCTCCCTTAATCCACAAAGGCTCATACTTTTCTTTGCAAAGCTCCCACAATTTCTTTCCATGGGAGAAATTAACAACATCATCATCTGTGCCCTGAAAAAACCAACAAATATGCTTAGCAAGGTGAATTTTTTAACAATATATCTATGCAAAAGTTCAAAGAAAAACAGATCCATTAACTTGAGTTGCACCTTGTTGATTAAAGCTGCTCATACCAAATAAGGGCTTAGCTCCATCTATTAAAAAAAAATTATACCTTGGATTGCTCTGTGTTTTAAAGAATTTTCATGCTTGCTTGAGACTCTTTTAAAGAAATATCAGAGCCCTTTTGCGACTTTAAGAAGCAGCAACATTAATCACCCATGAGGAACCCCAATCGCAATCACAGGATCAGTCCAGCCATGGGTTCAAGAAACAGGAGGGATAGTTTTACGGGTTGTTTGAGATAATTACCAAATGCCATTGAATTTTATATATTCATCCATTTTACAAGGAAAGGAGTGCATTCTAGCAAGCACTGGCCAACTTAAACAAGGTAAGTCATCATATTTCTATTTTGAACGGTGTTAAATTAATCACTAACTGATAAACAAATATCATTGGTTTATGCAATGCTTAAAATATAGAACATAGCACATCGAAACGGGTTCAAGCCTTTCGCACTTATAATCTGGTTCCTGCCTAGGGAATTTTCAACTGTCAGCATTGGGCGTTGACTGAAATTTCTGGGTAGAGTGAAACCAATGTCAGAACTAATTGATGCTAAGCTATGACAAACAGAGATGGTAGTGGAAGCAATTAAAACTGGGGCACAAACAATATATATTACATTTCCATATCATTAATTCATATTAAAGGTTTCTACTAAACTTGCAAGTGCCTTCATGTTACTCTTGAGCCAGCCTACCGATCACAAGCTACCCAATCTCCAATGTGAAGTTTTTATTTTTGTGTTTGGAGGCCTATGCCTCAATCCACATCGAGGCTTACGCTCGTTCAATAAAGAAAATGACTCAATTTTCAATTTTATCTTTTTAGACGTTGTGCATACAGTAACAGGTGAAAAGTAATCAAAGGCTATTTAAGATTGTTTTAATACTTCCATTTTGTTAATCATTTCAATGTCTTAAAAAGGGATTTTGTTATATCCACAAACCTAGTTGGTGTGTATGTGCTTAAGATTGAAATTCACCACTTAACTTTTTTGTGATGCAAAGCATTGCTTGATGATGATCATGATTTCACCTTTTTATCATCTCTTACATTCTTTCTTTCTTTTTTCTTAGTGATTTACATAATATTGCTCTCATTTATTCCATGCCAAAAGGTTATTTCTGCTGTTTTCCAAACATAGACAGCTAGAACATATTCTGTCACAATAGAATCAAAATTTCAATTGTAAAGGGTGACATTAGGTCATACCAGTTCATTTCAAGAATGGAGATCTACTTGTAATCCCCGCAACCATATTGGAAAATACGTATTTTCTCTATATTTTTTTGAGTTTTTCTATACATTCAAATAAAAAATAAAAAGGGGGATTGATGTGATGCAAGCTTGGAGTTACACAAGATTATAAAAAGAATTTACTAAAAGGTTTAACCGTTATAAAATTATGCGTCAATTCCAAGTTAGTTGCAAGAATTCTTAGCATTCCACTTGCTTAGGCAAAGAATTGTATGAATATTAACCAAAACACTTTAATCAAATACAAAGGCGAAGTAATGTAAGAGCTTAACACACAAATCCAAACGTTAATAAGGAGTTGTTCACCTTGAGGATCTACTGTCTTCCCTACGAATCTAGGTTGAGCGGAGGAAGATCGTCCACACTAGAAATGAGGTAGCCACTGGGACGAACGAGCCGAGGAACGTCGTTGTTGGGAAGGTAGTCGAAGGTGGAGGTGGCATGGGTGGATGACCATTGATGGTCCACTCATAGTCCGAGAATTGATCGTCGACGATTTCCACGAGTGTGGGGAGGATTCGGTTCAAGTAATCTTCAATGGTGTTGTCACGACCAAACCCGACGTCAAAGAATGGTGATCGAGTGATGTGGATGTCTCCGTAGGCGTCGAGTAAGAATCCGCTATCAACCTCGGGATCCGCCATGCAACATTAGTTTGTAGATGAGAGAGCACAACAAGAAGATCCAAGAGGGGAGAGGGGCGGCCGGCTTGGAGGATTGGGGGGAAGAGGGGGCGGCTAGGGTTAGAGGAAAACTTAGGGATGCTAAATAAATCTGAATTTAAATTCAGATTTAAGTGGTTTTGGAGTGAGAGGTTTGAATTTCAATTTCGAAATTAATTGAGGATGGGGGTTAATTTGGTAAGAGAGGGATTTTGCCCATGTATGGGGCCGACGGCATAGGGAGAAGAGGGGAGAAGGTTTTGTGGAGAAAACTGAAATCAATTTCAGTTTTAAGTGAAATTGGAGGGAAGGTTTTATTGAAATCAATTCCATATTTCAAATAAGGGGAGGGGCATTGAATGCATTCAATGAAAATCCCCAATAAGGGGCCGGCGGCTTTAAGTGGGAGGAGGAGCTTGGGGAAGGAAGGGAGGGGGTTTCCAAATAGTGGTGATGACTAGGAAAGAAAAATTATTGACTCCAATTTAATTTAATTTGAAATTGGATTCAATCATAGAAACTTTTCTAAATTGGACTTCCTAATTTGGAAAGAATTTGAATTTTGAAATTCAAATTTCAAAGAAGGCTAGGGGAGAGAGTGGTGGTGGGTGGATGGGGGGAGGCCGGCAGCAAGGTGGCCGACCGGTGTTGAGAGGGCAGCCGGCAGATTGGGGCTCCAAGGGGCGGCGGCAACAGGGTGGGCTCGGATTCCTCAAGCTCTTGGGTTTGGATTGTTGTCTTGTATGATGGAAGAGGTAAGAGAATAGGGATCGCAAGCCTCAATGATTTCTCCAATAGAACTCACAAAGAGATCAAGGAGAAATGAACTCACCAAGAGATCAAGGAGACATGAACTCACAAAGAGAACACAAAGAAAAAAAAATTTCATTCATCAATAATCCCTCATACATGATAAGAGATCCATATATATAGGCTTCCAAATGACAAATAACACAAAGACTAGAATGCCCCTTGGGCTACAATACCGACAAATTACCCATAAGGGCAAAAACGGAAAAAAACTGAAATAAAATGCTTAATACATAAAATGCTAATACAGATAAACATCAAAAGTAAAGACTCTCCATCATGGCCATCGATCTCCTGTGTCGTCTCTGATAAACACGTCGAAATTTCTTGTCGATGTCCCCATCAGGGATTTACATATATATTACTATATACTACTCTATTTATATATCTAACATCTAAAACTTTAATATTACATACATGCCACTCAGTTCACTTTCATATCAAATATAATTGATAGTAATGAAATATATGAGTGGTGGGAATGAAATATGGGTGACATATTTGATATTAAAATAATATAAAGTTCTAGATATATATCTTGTGTTGGGTGGTATATATCCAGCACAAGATCATAAGATTTCAAATTGAAAAAAGCAAGCTGCTAGATATGTTTCAATCCAACCCAAGTAATTGCTATGTCAAGAACTGTATAACACTATCCATGTACGGGAGATTATTATAAAAGACAACCTATGGCTAAATTCAAGAGAAATTATTCAGTTAAACTATGAAAATATTAAAATTATAAATAAAAGAAGTGCTATCTATGATTTATTACATGTGTCCCATTCATAGTGATTGGGTTACAAAAGAAAATTATTAAAATTATAAATAATAAAATAATAACATATACAAAAACAGGTAATTCCTAACAAATGTCTTCCATGATAGATAAGAATAAAACTACATACAAATGAATCAAATATAGCTAGAATGATCCAAATGCAGCCAGCCTGAAAATAAATTATTATTTACTTAGGTTACATCAATGGATTTGTCTGCATCAACGCCATAGGGACTAAAGAGCTCTTCCCCCAAGTACTATAAATGTTCGTTATCCATGTAGAAGGTGATGGTGCAACTAGATTGTGTGACTTGTGTCCATAAAATCAATAGCATATGAAGTCAGTCAAAGAGGAAGATTTGAAGGCTTTAAATCTGAATGTGCCATGTAACATAGATCATTACATAATATGTATCTTAAGTTAGCACACCATAATAGCATGGCAGTGATTATTATTTAGATTTAAAATACCAATTGACTTCTGATTTTTATCAAATTAATAATATTATTTAATAATAAAATATCATTGCTAATCAAAATGGCAGCAGTGCGACAATTTCCCCAAAATGAATCTTGATTCGCATGCCCTCCTCGAAATTCGTGCATTTGCTTCGTTTTACTTGTCAATCTCGCCACTTAATTTTAATTGGGCCAATTGGTAGTGCATTTAAAGCATTGACAGTGTTCCGGTCGCAACGGCGCAGTCCATTTCGGGATCGCACTTCGTTTGGGCAACGCCGAGGCCTATTCTCCTCGACATGTGTTGTCATCTTGGGATGCGTGCCGCCAAGGTTTAAAATTGCGCAATTGAGTATTGAGGCGTTTTTCGTTCGTGAGGCGAGGCATAAGCCTCAAGGCGTTTTGAGGCGTAAGCCTCAAAATGTAAAAATTGCATAAAATAAAAAATAAAAGTTAAAAGTTATTTTTATATAACAGCCAAATAATATGTTAAATGATGGTATATTAACTTTCTATGGAACTATGAAGTAACAAGTTTACATACATATGAAACAAAAAATTGTATAAGAAGTAAAGTGTTAAATGAAAAATGATATGAAATAGAATTGAAATCTAAATATTATATGAACAAAATAATATAAAATATATGAATTGCATAAAAGTATCTTATAACATCAAGTTCAACTCTATTTTTTTTGCTTTTTCAGTTGCCTACTCATTTACATTTAATTACTAAAGAAAGTTAAAATAATTGGCAATAACTCAAAAAACATTTGTATTATCATTACTAAGGAGATTTTTATTTGAGTCATTGTCATAACAAATTTGTCTCTTTCCTGTCTCATCCTATAGGGTTCAATACCTCTTAATCTCTTTTTCTTCATTTATTTAAGTCATATTCATCTTTCATAAATGTTTATCATTAACATAAATATAATACTCCAAAAATTTTAAGAGGTGATGGTGGTGGCATGCGGCTTTCTGATAGATCCCCTGCAATAGCTACGATGGTGGAGGCTACGGTGAAGGCGGTGGGTTGGAGGTCGAGGTAATTGAGAGGAAGTTGCTACGGCTTGGGGGTGCAAGAATACATAATTTTTTGGGGCTATTGTATAGGATTTAGGTAAGTTTTAAATACCAAAATTTATAAATAGAGTGAGGCGTACGCCTCATGCCAGCGAGGCTAGGCGAGGCGCGCCTTAAGGCAGGCCTCATCCAAGATGAGACGTAAGCCTCATAGAAAAAGCTCGAGGAGTAAGCCTCGAGGCATTTTTTACTGGAATTGTGCTAAGACAGGCCTCAAGACGAGCCTCATATTGCGCAATTTTAAACAACGCGTGTCGCCACCTTGATCGACCCCCGCCGATCAAATAAAATGTATATTCTGAATGCCAATGACGTTTCAGACGCAACATCGAAGTCCATTCTGCGATCAGACGTCGTTTGAGTTTCGATCTTTATCAATTTCGGGTGCTGATCGCCCCTTTGTACCTATCTCGTCCGATTTGACTGAGAGGGGCCTCGACCTAGCAGAATTCGGCGTTCTGATTGCAACGCCGCTGTTTGTTTGGCATTCATAGGTCATTTGAGCCAACTTGCACGTTGCCAAATTCGCCAACTTGTTTTCCCTTTGCGCGTGATTTGAGGTATAGGGGTCAACAAACACTCAATTCCTGATGTGAAACGTATTAGCATGGATAATTAAATTAAGGAAGTTTGCACGCTTAAATTTTAGAGCACAATAATTATAAGCTTTATCTTGATGATAAACGACCGGGCTACAACACTACATGACCACCCATAAGGGTAAAAAGGGAAAAACAACAATATAAAATAAACTAGTACAAAAACATATAAATAAATAACTAAAAAAAATCATAGCCGTTGATCTCCCAACAAACACTCAATTCCATTTCCAAATTCCAAGTACAATCATGCTCAATAAAATCTTCCAAAGAGGATTAACACAAAACAATAAATTGTTTTTTGTTTAACAAAACTTTTTAATAATGTATAGGATTCAATTTAATTGTTAGCTTCAAACTAGATAGATTGCAGAAGGCATGAAAAACTTACAGTGAAATTAAAATTTTCTGTTGAATTATTATTTATTTAAACCATACAAATTTTTAAAATTTTTGCTATGCTTCTAAATGAGTATAAAATTTAGCAAGTAATAATGTACGTATGCCTATGCAAAGAGACGTACAGGATGTGTCATTGAATATGGAAATAACCGGTGTAAACTTACATATCAGGACCACACTTTTCTAAGCCGAATTAACCATTATAAGGATAGCCGCAGGGAAAATAAGAAGTGGTTAGCCAAATGGCTTAAAAATGGATCATAAAATTGGAAAGCCCTAAAGAAGACAAGGCATACTCACATGAATCACCAGAACTGGACAATTGACCAGTTGGATTTTGTCAATGTTCTGAAAAGAAAAAGTGAATGCCTGGTCAGAACCAGCAAGCAACAAAAGTAGATTAACAAGTTTGAAGGTAATGGGAAATAAAACCTTGAATATATCAAACCAATATGTACGCTTCACAGGATACATGACACGCAGGCCAGACAAAATAGGACTATGCAGAACAACAGCTTTTAAGCAAGGTAAACGGGTTGCTAGGTCCAATGTTGGACCACTCCCAACTGATTGTCCGTATAAAATAATATCTTGTGACAGGATACCATATGTTTCTTCCAAACACCTATACACAGCTTCTATGTCTGCAAATGTATTTATCTCACTTGGCTGCTGTCAGAAAGATAAGCAAATTAAATAGAGCCTAAATGGAACAAAATTTAAAAAAAAAAATAGAGTCTTTAAGAATTGAAACAAAACCTTTCCAGTTGATTGTCCATATCCAGAATAATCATACCTGCACAAAATAGAAATCTATATAAAAAATTCGTTCTCTCTCTCTTTCTACTCTTTTCTCTATCAGTCCCTCTCAAGCTCGGCAATGGAGTTATTTGAGAAAGAAAATGATTCTATGAAGCAGTTCAAAGAACCGAGGCAGCTCGAAGCAGAAAAATTTTATGATTACTGACAAACAAGGGCCTCATGTGTTGCACCAACATATCAAAATTAGTGAAATGTATCTAATGAAGGAATCCATCATTATAAGCTCCTCTTACACGTGTAATTAACTAGACAAAAACTAAAAGATGATACATGACTTTTTAGTGAATTATCTATATTAATAAGCACTGAGTAATTGGAGGGCGGTTTTTGGCAAGTAGCTATATTTGATATAATAATATTCAATCTATCTTATGGGTTGTTAAAGCATATCTTGAGAGAATTTATAAGCATAAAAATTATCCTTCTGTCAGAAGATAAGATATGATAAGTAAACACTGAGAGGAAATATAAAATGTTAAGAAGTATTCTCTACCTTCATGTGAGGGGGGAAATATTAAGTTTGATTAGCAGCAAGACTTTTCAAAATAAAATAACTTCATTTTGAAATAAAAATAGCAAACATGCATACATAACATAACTTTAATGGAACTTTGATGATGGATTTTGAATATGATTCTATCCCAATATTCTCTAACTTTCATTAAATTTTGTTGAGTTAAACAAATTAAAAAAGGGCAGCAACAGCAAAATTATTTAACTATATAAATACAGGCTAAAATTGTGATATAAGATGACATATCTCAACCTCATCCAAAACAAAGGGTATATCTCAATCTCCCATTTTATTGTTCGATTCCTTCAGTTCAGAATTTTCCTACTCTTTACCCCTGTTTCTAACTCTATTGTTTTCTATCACACAGAAATATAATAAAGAAACATACGAACCTACACAGTTTTTGTAACTACAGACTACAAATTCTTAGATATGTATTACATTTTCCAGTTATTCCTGTTCTCTTACGGACTTGTCACCTTCGGCGAAATCTACAGCTCCAACTTTTAAAGCACATCGCTGATGAGACAAAGTATAAATAATGCAACTTGTGACCAAACATGCAACTAATTTGAGATATTTGACAGACATGAAGATTTTTCCCTAAAAAGTTTTCTTTCAACCCACATGAATGCATAGGCTATGCTAGATACTTGATTATCTGACCACAAGCAGTTCCAAGCAGGCTCTAGCGCCTGGATTGCAAAATATGAAGTCCTAACTCAAAAAGAACCTCATAAGTTTTTATTAAGTAATCATTCACAACGAACATAATTCTAGTGCATGGTAATAAAAATATAAGAGAAATTTAATAGAAGCAAATAGATTTGAACTTTTATAAAAAAATATACTTAACAATAGTACAAGTATTGTAACAATATTTAAAAAGTGTGAATTCCTATTATAGCTTTAATTCCAACGGATTATTTAGTTATCTACTTTAACCATAATCCATCTGAAAATTTTAGCAGGGCATGTTTGTAATATTCACACAAATATTCTTTAGAATTACCAATACCAAAAAAAATAAAATATATCCATAAAGGAATACCTTCCCCTCATTATGAATACAAGAAAATTAGTAATGCAATTATTCCATGTCATATGGCTTTTTAACCCCTATAGACTTTGAATACTTTGAATACATATGCATCGCCACTTTAAAAGTTCAAAATTTTTTCAAAATCATTATCTGAAGATGTTAATTTTCCAATTGCACATTTACACCCCAATCAAGTTTAGAATCAATCCTTCAGCTAAAGAACCCAAGCAGCTCTTAATTACACTTCAATTTTCTAAAATTAAAAAGGCTGAAGTGATGGCCCATGCTACAACCATCATTCACCTTGTAAGGGGGTACCAAACACAAAATTTGTCTTCTATCAAACAAACGGTGAAGCGAGTAAATGCATCATCTCTTACCCTTCAAGTCATGAGATTCCCATCAAAGAAGAAACAGGACAACCAAGAATACTTGAGGCCAAATCTAGAGAGCAGTTAGATCGTAAAACTAGCTCTAAACTCTACTATAAACTAACTAACAATTTGCCCAGTTCTCCTTTTTCCTTGTTATCCATCAATCTGTAACACTAAAATATGCTCTTCCAAAAATGAAAAAACAAGCATCACATTCCCCCCTCCTAATCCCAAAAGCAAGAGTCAAAAGCCCTAACTTTACCAAGAAACTAAAGGATATTAAGCAACAAACAACTCATTCAACAATTTCCTTCAGTATCATCGGATCACGCTTCTTGTTCTTTATTATTAGAAATCTTAATACTTCTCCAACCAGCTGACCCTAAACACACATAATCCATGATCAACCAACATTATTGGTCGATCAAGACCAGCATAGGCAGTATGGTCAACCAATTGTTGTTCGACCAGGGCTGCTGTTGATCGAATAAGATTTTCGGTGTAATATAATCTTGTAGAGCACAGATTAGGATTGATTATCCAAAACCCCAAAACAAAAAGAAAAATGTAAATAAATAAACAATAAGATATAAACGCTCACCCTATCAGGTTCACCCGCAGATGAACACTAAGCTCAATGAATAGCTCGTATATCTGGCCAATATCAGCAGCGTTTCCATGCGAGTAAAGCACGGTAAGCTTCGCTGCCGGATTCTTCACATAAACCGCCACGATCTCATTCTTCCTCCTTGTCTTCAACCTCATCACCTCGACCCCCTCCCTCTTCATCACTCCAGTCATCTCCCACTTCACCCTCGCCGGCTCCCCCACCTCCACGGCTACTAATCCATAAGACGGCGGGTCCGGCGGAAAGAAGGCGAACTTCGCCGCCATCATCGAGGTCACTCCTCCCATGTCTTGATATTTCAGCGTTACAGAGACCGGTAAAGCATCGAAACCAGATTATGGTTACTGTTTCGCTTCAGCTGATCTCCTCTCCATGGATTGAATGGAAATTGGAGGAGAAAGGAGTTGATTTCTCCATTTTATTGATGGAAAGTTTCCTTTTTTTTTTTCAAAAAGAGGGGGCAAAGCTTAAGGGAAGCCGGTTTGCACTAATCTTATTTCCAATTCAGTAATTTACAAAAAAAATCCTTTAACAATTTATTTTTACGAATAATTTGTCTTTGCCTTATTAGTTTCCCTAACTGTTGAAATATAGCTAAGCTATCAGTGGTCCTTTTCCTTTGTTGGAAGAGAAACGGCAAATTCTCGTCAAAATAAGACATTTAGATTGTTTTGGAAAGTAATCTCTATTTATTATAAACTAATTATTTTAAATAAAATTCACTTTAATTTCAACCCACTTATTTTTCATCAAGTAATAGCTTTGGCCCAAATATTTTTTTTCTAACTTCAAACTTTGATTTTTGGCTTTTGTATTTATTATTGTAATTATTAATGAGAATAATAAATTTGATTAAATTAAAACAATTAAGATATTAGTAAAAATAACTTTAAATTTTGTGTTGTTACATGTTAGAAAATTTACTGTTGTATAATATATGTTTGTTTTATTAACTTTGTACAAAAATTTATCATGCACATAAAGTTGCAAAAGACACGGAAGATTTTACATTTAAAAGAATTACATATCTTATCTCTTAATTAATTTATCAGAGCGATTAAATTCATTTATCTAAATAAAAACTTAGTATAAGCAATCATATACATCAAAATATTTCAATATAATTATTACTCATCAAAATTCATTTTCACTAGTCAGAATGCAATCAATATATCAGTCTATCATTTAATACTCTTATCTATAAAAGAATAAAGAAAATTGTATGCAAATATAAACCTAAAATTCTAAAATCAGGTTAGCCTCACTCCACTAAATTCATACCCAGAACTGAAACATTGAAACCACTGGATGAGATAACAATTCAGTAGGTTACCAGAACCTACAACTACTATCAACACATAGTAGTATAAATAATATGTATATAAGCATTAAATTCATATTAGTATAAATATGTAACATTAAGATCATGTGATGATCAATATGATCATTCATACAGGCAATGTAACTTAAGAATTTGTGATCGGTAACCATATAAAATATTAATATGTTTTGTTATCCCTATACCAATATCAAATATAACATAACATGTGAACTCATGAATCTATACTTATTTATATTTTATATCTCATTTCTATCTATATATCATCCCATGTATATCTGTATACATGTTATATCAAGTACTATTCTACATCTATTCTATGTATATCATAGAACATCAATGCATATTTATCATAATTTATATCAAATGCAATGCATTGTATATATCATGTACTTCAAATTTATCAATGTCATTGTATCAGTCTTTTCAGTTTTGTTATATGCCTATGTCAGTCATATCATGTATCATATTCATATAATGCCATATTGTTTATATAATTATCATGTCATGCCCTATTTCATTAATATATAATCCTAACGTGTATGCAAAATCATATTAAGCAAAGTAGGATATGTGATGTCCTGGAATCTAATTTGAAAAAATTATTTTTTTTTCTTTTAATTTACATATCCATAGCTATCTAATTTCCTTTATCAATAACAATAGCAGCATAAATAAAACTATCAATCAAAACATCAATATATACATCTATATTCATTCCTAAAAATTATATATAATATGCAATATATGTACAATCATCACATATCTAACATATAGTAACCTAAAATTATTTAATCATATATAATGAGATAAAAAGTCCAGCATGTCACTAAAATCTACAATTGAATTCAAAGCACGGTTAATGAACAATATGCATGTAAACAATCAAAACATAATAGTTACATTCATATGATCATTGAATCAGTGAAAAAACAGTAAAATTCACATATAGTAGTAGTATAATCTATAAGCAGTAAAACACTATGGTACAGAAGCTAGTAAAATAGTAAACCAATACGGTACATAAGCTAGTAAAATAGTAATTACATGATATACATGATAATATTTACATGGACCATTACATATTCTTATAATTATATGTTTATTGTTCAAATTTGATGCATTGATTTTAGTGGTAGATATTGGTTAATTGCTGGGCTATATTCTCATTTTGTTATTTTTATATATTTTCAAGTAAGTTTAAGGAACCATTGGAGTAAGGTGGACCTTGGCTGCAGTTTTAGGTTTTAATTTTTGTTGCCCCTTTGTAATCATGATGTATTATAATAGGTGGATTTTACTTAGTTCAGAGCCTTGAAGTTAGATATGCATTAAAGAAAATAAAGAGCAAAAAAGTAATAGAACTTGATGAATTTCCAATATCAGTGTTGAAATGCTTATGAGATCAAGGAATTTCTTACTTTGAAAAAAAAAAATGCCAAATGAGTGAAAAAGGGATATGTTGGTTCCTATTTTTAAGAATAAATATGATGCATTATAGTGTACAAATTATAAAGGAATTAAGTTAACATGCCATACATTAAAATTAAAGGAGAAAGTAATTTAACATAATTTATAATGTGAAACTAATGTTTCTCAAAATCACTTTGGATTCATGTCGGGTAGGTCTACTATGGAAGCTATATATTTGTTGAAAGGTTTGATGCAGAAGTATAGAGAGGGTAAGAGGATCTACATATGATATTTATTTATTTAGAGAAAGCATATGATAAAGTTCCAATATAAGAGCTCTAGAAAGTTCTAAAAAAGATAGGAGTTAATAATGCTTATATTTAAGTCATTAAGGATATGTATGCAAGAGTTGTTACTAGTGTTCAAACATAAGGTGGTTTGACCATGTGTTTTCTTATTTTAGTTTGATTATATCAAGGATCATCTTTAAGCTCATATCAATTTTTGAATTAGTCATGGATGTTCATACTAGACATTTGTAAAAGGATGTACCTTGGTGTACACATTTTTCTTAATGACATTATTCTTGTTGATAAAACTAGAGAGGAAACTGGTGAAAAACTTAAAATATGGAGATCAACTTTAGAGTCTATAGATATTCATATGAGTAGATATAAAACATAATACATAGTATATAATTTTATCAACAAGAATAAAATAACTTGATGTATCATAAAAACTAACTTGATCAAGTACAAACTTGATGCCCGGTTGAATTGAAAATCTTTTAATTCAAATTCAAAGCCATATGAACTCTAATTTTAGCATACATATAACCTAACTAAACACCTATAAGAGGTGAACCCAATGACACCAAAGCTGTCTCCAAATCGAAACGAATATAGATTAAACACTCAAAGCATACTAGAAGACTTTGGGAGCAGTAATTGGAGAACCAAATGATTTATAGATCTTGTATGCTTATAATCAAATCAAGCTTCTTGGCTAGATAAATCCAAAGTGACCAAATGCATTTGATTTCTAACATCATTAAGGCACTTAAACATTGAAAGAACTCTTTAGAATCAATGGATTTAATATGGGTTGCTTAACGAAATGTTTTAGATTTTGAACATATATACAGAATATGATACTCTTAAAAATATATAAATATGCCCACACGCTCTACATGAAAGGGGGTATGAAGTTGTGGCTTAGAGACCTAAAGAATCCTAGAGCTCCATCAGATTATTGTATAAAGACCAACACCAATGGACCATCACTGCTTGACTATTGTCATTGGTCCTCTGCCCATTAACCAGACTTCAATGCTCCAACCATCATTGACTTAAGTATGATCCTCCAAACACTATAACATGACTATGATTCTTCAACCACAATCGTTTAACTATTATCCTATAACAATCATGGCCCAACTATAAACTTCTAACCACTATCACCCATCTAATATTCTCATACCAGGTTCTATTTATAAATTATTGACTAGCATTGCTCAACTATATATAGTCCTCTGAACATTATCATCCAACTATTTTCATCCTACCATTATTGCCTGGATCTAATCTTCCTACCACAATCTTATGATTAGCATCCTCCAACCATTATATATATTATAGTCATCTAACCATCGTTACCCCAACCAATATCATCTTATAATAATCACCCAACTACGGTCCTTTGACTATCGTTATTCAACTATGGACTCATGACCACTGTCACCCAATTAAGGCCATCTAATAATTATTGATTGACTTAGTCCTCCAACCACTATTAACTGACTATGGTTCTCAAACCATCTTCACCCAATGATATTTCTCCAATCATCATCACCCAACGATATTTCTCCAATCATCATCACCTAATAACGATTCTCCAACTATCATCGCCCAATAATAGTTCTCCAGCCATCATCATCAAACTACAATCCTCCAACCACAATTACTAAACTACAATCATTTGACTATCATTGACAGACTACAGTCCCCTAATTACAATATCCTTATTATGTTCCTCAAGCTAGAGTTGCCCAATTGCAACAAGTATTGCTATTTTTCTCTTAAAAGCAAATTATAACACATTAAATAGAAAATAAAAAATCACACTTCATGAAAATTATCAGGTAATAATCTAAATGTGCTTGATAAATATTTTTCTTAGCTATATAGAATGTACATACAAATATCCTTGAATCTCATAGCTTCTTATTCCATAATTCTTCTTTCTCCATATATTTCCTTGCTCTCTATTTTACCCGGTATTCTCAATATAATTAAGTATAAGTCACGAATAATTCGTAATTTAATGATATTTCATTGCCAGCTTTGTCTTACAACAATATTTATTTATTTAATCTTACAAGAAAAATCAATTTAAAATTCAAATTCTAATTTTTTGACCATAAATTTAATTTCCAATGTATTAGCACATATTTATTTATTTAAAATTATCTTCCCCATTTGAAGATCTCAACAAACAAATAATGGCCATAAGTTAAGCTTCTAAAAAATTTCCTTCTACGTTAGATTATTCAATTATTTTTTGTTTATCAAAATTATTAATTTTTTAAGTCTTCATCAGAGCATCCAATAAAAAATAAAAAAATATGCTAATTTAGAATAAGTATCATATCTTTATATTTTTATAATTTATTAGAAATTTTTTATAATTTTTTTTAATCACCTAAACAAAATTATTGTAAAATTGAAAAAGATT